AGGAGGAGGAGGAGGGGATTGAGAGAGGAGGAGGAAGGAGGAGGAGAGAGAAAGAAGACAAACAAAAGGAAGGGGAAGGAAGTAAAAGAGAAATAGAGGGAGGCGGTAGAAGAAAGAGAAGAGGGAGAAGGGAAGAAAGGAGGAGGAATGAGGAAAAGGAAGAAGAGGAAGAGGCTGGAGGAAGAGGAGGAGGGGAACGGGTGAGAGATGATGGTGGCAACAGTGGTAGCAGCAGCGTGTGGTGGCCGTGGTGGTGGCGGTGGTGGTTGTGGTATCGGTGCTGGTGACAGTGGTGGCCATGGTGGCAGCGATGTTGTTGGTGGCAATAGTGGGCAGCCTCTGCCTCCTGACTGGGAAGGTGTCCGTGTCGTCTGCTCCAGCAAAGCCAGGCTCTGCCTGGTCAGGTCCAGTGCCCCCTGCCCTGCTCCCTGTGCTCGCACTCGCCCCAGCTACATGGGACTCAGGTGGAGGTGACAGGCTCACCTCCCCAAGCTCAGCCAACACGCCTGCTGGCTTGTCAGGGTGAACGAGAGGCTCTTCCTCCGTGACCGACACAGAGCCCTGTGCAGGAGCCACTGTGTAGAATGAATATGGACCCAGGATCCCATCAGGTTGGCCCTGGGGAACATAGAAGGAGGAAGAGGAGTCATCGCGATGGAGAAGAATCTTCTCCGGGGATCCAGGGACCTGAACAATGAGCCCTGTGGGCTCCAGAGTCAGACTCCTCCACCTCCGGCTACGCAGTCCACCCTAGAAACCTGGCTTGCTAAGAGCGTGAGAAGAAGGGGGTCCTGACAAGGGTGACTCCGCTGAAAGCACCAAGCTCGGGACCTCCATGAGGCCAGCTTTGCTTCAGGGCCTCCTGTCGCCCTTGGGCAGGACACAAGCATGTTCTGGGATTGGAGCTGGCTCCCTGCCCTCCCCCACCAGGCTGTAAAGGAAGCCCCCAGACAGACTGCCCGACAGTCACCCCTTCTCATATCAGCAGAACATCTACCACGGCTTTTGTGAAGACAAGAAACATTTATTGAGCGCACGGGGGTGTGGCCAGCCCTGTGCTCGCGAACCACATCATGCGGCGCCTCACAACAGCCCTGTGAGGTAGGTCCCAGCCCACTTCACACGTGGACACTGGAAGCTCAGCAGTTCCCCCAAGTCTCAGGGTTCGTGGGTAGTGAGTGGGGGTCAAGCCCACGTGTGTGACCCCCAGGTCAGTGTAGTCCATCAGTCACAGAGTGGGTCTCTACTCAAGGGGAGGCCCCGGTCCAGAGTCGTGGTCCGGCCTGTCCCGTGGGAAGGTGTGCAGGGCGTCCCCGCGGCTGTGGAGGCTGAGAGAGACGGGTGGAGATGAATCTACCTGCTCCCGGTCCCACCGGCTGACAGAGATCTCATGCAGACAGGCAGGCTCGGGGCGGCAGGAGAGGATGCCTGGCCACATGGGGAGAAGGCCCCGCCTCTGGGCAGCCATGGGGGTAGGGGCAGCACCCAGCCACCAGCTCCTGTGCTCTAACCCAGAATCGGGAGCTCCCAGCTTTCCTCAAAGCTGTGCCCGGTCCTGCTACCCAACACGTTACCTGCTCAGCCTCCCACAGTCCTCAGCCCTCCTGATCCTCCCACTTCTGCCTCCATCTCCCCCTCCTAACCTGTTGCATCTCAGTGTTTAAAGAATCTTTCCTCCATCTCTGTCTCCCCAGAGCTGGCCAGGTGCTGCTCCCCACCCCCCCGCTATTGCACCATGTGGACCAGCAGAGTTTCCCCAAACCCACAGATGGCAGGGTGCTGTGGCCAGGTCCTCAGAGCCAGGCGCCCCAGGACGACAAGGCTGAAGGCACCTATGTGCCAGGTAACACAGCATTATTTCACAATTTCATTGAAGCCTACAATAGCAGTGCCACATAGGTGTGACAGTTTCCATGTTACAGATGAGCAAACACACCCAAAACCACATGGCTAGGGTGGCCTCAAACCTAGACCCTGGTTCTCCCAAGCCCAAGGGTGGTGCACAACATGGTGCAGACCTGGTGCTCTTGGAGCTCACCGCCTTCCCCTGAGCAGGAACGGCCCTCCAGTGCCACTTCCACAGGTGGGCAAAGAAGGCTCAGGACAGTCCAAGGAACCTGCCCAAGAGCACTCAGCTGGCAAATGAAACCCAAGGACCAGAGCCCAATGGACAAGACCCCGGGAGCCCCACCCAGGCACGTGCCCTGCACAGAGAAAAGAAATCAAGGTCTGGCGTCCAATCACTTCTACCCTCCCCACCTGGGATTGCTGACTGCCCAAACTTGGCATAGGTCTCACAAGACAAAGCTGACTGTCACCAGTGGTGGGGACAAAGACTTTTCAGGTGGATCACCAGGGCAAAGGTTTCCGATGGGTCAGAGAGGATACAGGCATGGCCAAGTGGGCCCTACAACCTGGCACTCGGCAAGTGTCACGTCAGAATCACTCGGGCCACGACACCAACCAGGACATTTCAGCTCAGGAGATTTTATTCTGGATACGAATATTTCCAAAATCATATTTCCAACAGGAGAGACCTCAAGGTGCTACCAGCTCCCCAGGCTGAGGCCTCAAGCAGAGACCCTGAGGGCTTCTGCCGAGAAAACAGGCCTCGTCCTCTTAAACCAAGTCATGTGCCTCAGCCATTCGGCCCGCGCCACTCTTCACACACATTCAGACCTGCCCTCCTGTCAGTGAGCAACCATTAAGCACCTCTCAGCGCAGAAAGCAGGGCTGCAGGGTTGGAGATGCGGCCTCGGCGGGGCGGGGTGGGGTCACACACTTACCTATGACCTCTCTGAGCCCCTGGACTCCCACCTGCTCATCTCCAGGGGACAGGAGGTACCTGACAGTGTCCCACCCTGGGTCACACACAGGCCTGGCCTGCAGGGAGCCCAAGCCTGTTGGAACAGACACCTAGACACAGGCAAAGCTCCTGGGAAGAGGGACCTGACTACCTGTTCCTACTGGGGGACTCTTGGGAACACAGAGGCAAGGCCTCCGTCACTGAGGACAGGGGAGGACAGGGTGCAGACTCAGCCTCCCGGTGGGGGCACGGCGGGCACAGAGGGGCAACAGCGCGGAGGACAGACGTAACCACAGGAGCCGAGGCTTCTGCCAGAGGAGGCCAGGCTGACAAGACCAAGGGCCACGAAGGAGGCCAGGCTGACCACCAAGGCCAAGAAAGCCAGAGGCGAAAGGAGGGAGAGGGAGGGTCCTGTGAAGGAAGGGGGCCGGGGCGGGAATTCAACAGGGAGGCCGAGAGGCCCCGGGGGGCAGTGGCCCACTCTCCATGTCTAACCAGGCTTCCTGGAGGGCCATGGCCTCCGTACCCCTCCCACGTCACTGTGCCAGGGACAGGCACACCACGGGGACAGGGATGCGGGCACACTTGCTGGGGGTGGGCAGAGTGAGACAGAGAAACCGGGAGGCCACGTTCAGAGACGTCAAAAGAGCTCTTCACACGAGGCTGTTGGGTCCTAGCTCTGACACCCAGCTGTCCCTGGCTCTCGGTCTGCTCACCAATACAATGGGCCCACACCCCAGGGGCAGGAGGGAGAAGTGTGTGGAAGTCCTGAGCTTGGTGGCAGGCTAGGTAGGGTGCTAGAGACTGAATCCTTTACAGGAAAGGACTGTAGAAGGTTAGAAACACAGGCCTTTCCACTAAAGGACAAGATCTTTGGCCCCCCAGAGATGCCACCAAAGCTCTTCGTCCTCTCTAAAGTGCCCCCACTATCCCTCTCCAACCAGCTAAGCCAGGGGGCACACACAGGTGTTTGCAGAGGGGGCAGCCAAAGCAGAGTGGCCAGGCAGCCTGCACCTACAGCGGCAGCCCAGGAGAGAGAGCAGGAGAGGGAAGAGCCAGCACTCAATCGAACAATTACTCGGGCCCCTGTGGCTGAAACGCTGGTCGCCCGCACGGCCGTCAACTGTTGGAAATACAGCCTAAGGCCCCGAGGCCGATGCTGACTTTTTATTCACCTACAACTCATAAAAGGCATCTCTGGGCCTCTCAAGGCCACCCTCAGCATGTGACCCTTCCTGATGAAAGCCAGCCTGTGCGCAGCACGGTCTCAGAGCACCAGGCCCGTGGCCCTCACAACAACCCTGTGAGGTAGGCTTTCTCCTGACACACACCTTGGAGAAAAGGAGACCCAGGGTCAGAGGGGCAGAGCTGACAGAATCAATACTACACAGGGACTCAAGTGGCCCTGAGACCTGCCAGATTCCAACATCTGGGCTCTTTCTAACATAAAACACAGACTCCTTTCAGACAGCTAACAGCTCGAGTTTCATTACATGATAGCTGAAACAAGAATCCTGGTTTCCAAACAACGCAGGGCGTACAAAAGTCGGCAAGATACAATGTAACAATTGTAAACAGGTTAATTAAGAGCAAAATACAGTAGAGGTTATAAACATCCGCCACCTGGGATTGGTTACAACTTCGTTAGCTGTCCATCCACTCAACCAGAGAAGGGGAGCCCTGCCACTGGCCAGGCTCTGCGTCAGGCACCCAGACTGCTGGCCTTTGAGCCCAAATGTTGCCAGAGGGGAAAGGCACAGAGTGCAGGGCAAGAGGCTGCCCAGTGCCTGAGGCACCCTGGGAGGGGCTTTTGGAGAAGGACATAAGGAGGTGCTGACCACAGGCCAGACGCAGAGGCACAGCTCAAGCCACCAGAAAGCACAGCCAGACCCTTCCCACCCTTCACAGAGGTGGGCGTGAATGCGCACCCCCGGGGAGCCAGAGGTACCACCCAGAGCCCCCAGCCCCTGGCCTGAAACTTCCCGTCAAAGTCGCTCCTATTTCATCTTAAAATGTCATACAAATGTAGCACTGTACCCCCAATATGCCCTGCGTGGTTAAAATGATAATTTCCTACGAAGCTGCCAGAATGAGGCAGCCCCCTCCCCCCTCCTCTGGCATATCCCCGGGGGCACGCAAACCACCCTTCCAGAATCACAATCACAACTGCAGTTACACAGGTCCTCACAACAGCCCTGCGAGGTGGGTACCATGGTGCTCCACAAGACTCAAGACTCTCACAGAAAGGTTAAACCATACAATTTGTCCAGCTCCGGGGTCCTGGCTTCCCATGCTACCGCTCGTCCCCAATGCCAGGAGTCAGGCTCAGTCTTAGGTGTGGCCCCAAGCCTGGCGCTTCCCCCAGCTGGTGGGAGCAGAGGGCTCACTGGCTGAGAAGTGCACAACACTGAGCGCTAAGTTCAGGATGTGATCAGGGCCTGTGCCTCGTGTGCCCGGGGCTGCCAACGGACTGCTCTGCGTGGACCCCTGCCTGGAGCATGATCCCAGCCTCCTCCAGGAGCATCACCTCCTGCCATTTTCTCTAACTGGAGGTGAGCATTAACTAATCTCAGAACGGGCAGGAATCGCTCTCAGAGGCCGAAGCCAAAGATCGGAGCTTCTTAGTGCCTTAAACGCCTGCACCAGTGCCCGCAGCAGGGCCTCAGCTCTCCCTCTGGCCCCTTAGGAAACAGACTCGGGGAACAGTTTGCTGGTTACTAATCAGCCTAGTTTTGTAAGGAACAAAGCTGTAGAACAATCGACCTCCAGACAGAGCTCAGATCCAGAAGTCTGAGATGAATCAAGAGGTTGCCTGGTTTCGGACCCACAAATATGGCACCTTCTCTCTCGAGACCTTGGGAGCCGACTCTAGTATAGCACTAGCTGGTTTTTGAAGATGTTCATTGAGTGTGAGTGCTGGATGGAGGGATGAAGTGATGACGGATGAGTTACAACCACTGCCATCGGGTGTGATAAGCCACAGGCTGGAGGCAAAGCTCATGGCAGGGACCATGCGCCAGGCAAGGAGAGGCCCGGGGTGGAGGGGACCATCTCCGTGTGGGTCGGGAGGGCTCAGCCCCTGCGCCCCTCTAGACCCTGACCCTGGACCACAGTCGCAGTGTGTGATGCATGGAAAAGCACCATGGGAAGAGGCCATGGGAGTGACCGTGGAGGATGAGACCAGGCTGGGACGTGCTCAGAGCAGTGACCCCAAGGGGAAGGTACGAAGAAGGGTGTTGGCGTCATGACCACAGCCCAGGGCACGACACGGCCCGCCCCACAGGGAAAGGCTTTGCTCTCAGGAAGGGGAAGGCCAAAGCACCAGCCGAGACACACAGGCCGAAGGCATGGAGGGGCAGTGGGTGGAGGTCATGGTGAGAGTGGCCCTGGCCTCCCAAGCTTTGATGCCAAGGTACACATGGGTGAGGGTTCAGACGCAGGCAGACGGCGCTGAGTGCTATAGTAGAGGGGCGGGTCGGTGGCAGTGGCTCTCTGCTGGGGACGGGGGGTGGAGGAAAGCCCTCCTCGGGTCCTGTGCCCTCCCCAGGTGGCTGTGACCCTGGCTAACTTTGAGGTAAGAGGCCAGGGGACACCCAGAAGGGTGTAAGGTCCATGGCACTCCTCAGATTAGGGGATGGAACTGTACCTGGGGGAATGGAAGAAGATTCTCCACCAGTTCTGACCTAGAACTCAGAACCCCGGCGCCAGCAGCGAGGCCAGCTGTGCAGGCCAGGACTCAGGGATGTTGGCTGGCACGTCACAGGACATGGGAACCCAGCTCTCTAAGGGGAAACAGAGGCCCCGCTGGAGGAACAACAGGGGAGGTTACTGGGCAGGTTCAAAAGCCCACCCTGACTGTACAAGGTGCTGGGCATGTCACCCAGACCTCAGGGGAGTCAGAAAGGTACTACTGCCCACCCACAGGGCTCCACAGGGTGAGACCAGAGTTGACAAGCCATGATGGGCACAGCACATTTAGGGAATGCAATTGTGTATGTCCCCACCCACCAGAGAAAGGTGTCCCTGTCCCCACCACCCATTTTTCAGGGGTAAGTAATTCCTAAAGTCAAACTGACCTGAGAGGCCAGCTTGGCCACCCAAACATCATGATGGGAACTCCCTAAAACTACCCTGTGCCTTGCCTGGTGACTCCCTGGACACCTCTAGTGACAGAGAGGCTCCCTACACCCACAGGACACCCTTGACCGGTCTCTTCAGAAAGCCATGACCCAATGGACTTGGACAAACAGTTCACAGAAGAGAAGATACAGGTTGTTAATAAGCATAGATAAAAAACCGACATTAGTATTCAGAGCAAGTTAAAACGATGCCAAAGCACTTCTTAACAGAGAAAACCCAGCAGATACCTTTAGAAAATGCTAATACATTGCTAAACATTGTAACACGCCGGAAGCCTTCTAAAAGTAATCAATATTCACACAAAAATCCCTAGGCTCTCATTCAAATAGCTCCACCATAGAAAACTCATTCGTTCATTCACTGATCCACCCAAGCGCACATCCTCCATCCTCTCCTACCTGCCAATCACCCACTCGCTCACCCGAATTTCCACCACATTTCCACCCGCTCATCCAACATCTATTTAGAGTCTACCTGTCGGGCACTGGAGACACAAAGATCAATTCCACAAGCTCCTTGCCCTTAAGGGGCTCACAGTCTAGCAGGAGACGCTGACAGTTAATGAAGCAATGATAATTTCTGGGGGTGAGAAGGTGCTTCACAAGGATGAACAAAAAAAGTGGGTGTGCTCAGCTGTTAGTTGTGACATAATTTGCAAGATTAAAAAAAAAGAGAGAGAGATGATTTATGCATGACAAAAGCAGGGTGGATTTACAAATGACACCACAGCCACTCAAAGGGGTCCAATGCAGAGAGGTCATGAAGCCGATGAACAAAGAAAAGTGTGGATGGCAGAATAGGGAGGGGTACAGACAGGACGCAGCGGGGGGAGAGTGTGTGGTGAACAGTGGCAATCAGGTGGGTTTAAAGGACGCATGCTCATAAAAAAAATGTTCATTTGAAAAAAATGGGTGGCCATCAGACATGAATCTGAAGAGCAAAAAGAAAGCATGGCATGAGAGGGGACAGAGGGGTTGAGCCGTGGTTCCCTCCCTCCGGGTCACGCGCCATCCACAGCTGCACACTAGGAGCATCAGTAACTCAGCGCACCTGTCCCAAGGAGGGACTGGGAGTCGCAGGGGGAGACCCAGGAGAGTAGCAGCCCCTGATGTCACCAGGGAAAGTCGTGGGTGGGGTACACGCAAATGTCAATCAGGACAAATTTTTTCCCTGCTTTATAAAGTTGAAACCAGCCCTGATCCGGCAGGAGGCCCGGGATCCTGGCCCAGAGAGCACGTGCACATCACTCCACCTGGTTTCTGAGCCCTACCAACTTTGAAACTCAGGATGTAAAACTAGGGACTCAAAGGTCCTATGGGCTCCCACCCACCCCTAGGGGTTAAGTATGTCCATGGTGGCCACTCAGAATGGCCCCTCAGGGCCCCTTGGACAGCCCAGATACAGTGGCCACACTTGTAATCCCAGTGACTCCAGGGGCTGAGGCAGAAGGATCACAAGTTCAAAGCCAGCCTTAGCATCTTTGTGAGGCCCTAAGCAACTTAAAATATAAAACAGGGCAGCGGGTGTGGCTCGATCCCTGGTACCACAAAAAAAAAAAAAAGCCCCGTTTTTAACAATGTGAACAGCCAGCTCTCCTAGAGACCTGCCCTGCTCTAGCCCCTGTCCTTCCCATCTCCTCCTGGTGCACAGCTGTGGCCCCCCTCCCGCTTCCCTTCTGCACCCCAAACTTGCAGTCTTCTGAGCCTCCGCCGGCTTCTAAATACGTGAACGTGGGTTCACCCCAAAGACCCCCTGGTTTCTTCCTGTCCTGAGCCCCTCCCACCTGTTCCCCATCCCACAGTGACCCCTGGGCTCGTCTGGAGATCTTCAGAAACCCATTCAGCAGGTGTCCTGGAATGATAGGTGCACCTCCAGGTTCCGGCCAGTCGAGGTAGAGACCAGAGCCCCCAGATTCTGAAAGAGGAGGCCAGCAGACCCCTGCGGCCCTAGCCCCACGTCAGGGCCACGTGAGCTGCTCACGTGGCCCAGACACGTGGTGCTGGGGGCACAGAAGGTGGCTTCTGACACGTGAATTCCATGTCCTCCATGTTCTAAAGACCGTTGTCATCCATCGGGGCCTGTGCTAGGAGCTGAGAAGTCCCTCATCTTCCTCACCCCTCTTCTGAACGTCTTCACCCACCTACCAGCCTCAAGCTTTGCCCGTGCCCCACTCCACCCCCTCGCTCAGACCTCCCGCCACTGGACTACGCCAGGCCCTTTCCCACCGCTCTACAAACCCTCTGGAGCCCACCTGCCACCAACCACGTGGCTCCGCCCCACTCCCCTGGTGTACACGTGCTGCCGGGGTCCAGCTAAGGTGACCTCTGCTTGCTCTGGGCACTTGGTAAGAAGGAAAAAAGAATGTTTCTGATGACCCAAATATGAACTGGCAAGTCAAGGGGATCTGGGTCCTTCTGTCTACAGACAAATCCAGGCACATCCCATGAGTGCACGGATCTTGTCCACTACAGAGAAAGGGGACTCCCTGGGGGGACGTCAGGTCAGCCGATTCTCCAGGTGTCCCCCGCAGCCCCGGGGAAGAGCCTGAGAAGGCAGCTTCCACACAGAGAGCCAAGACACTTTCCACCAGAGTACAGAGTACAAGGTAAATCGCCAAGAAGAAAGGCCTTGAAACAGGCTCCGGGAGTGCCACGTCGGGGCCCAGGACCCAGGACCGCGTCTGCACACGTGGGCTGAGGGTGGAGAAGGGCGGTGCCCTGCTGGCACACTGCAGAGTCGCAAGAACAAAGTCCTGGTGCTTCTCCCAGGGCTCCTGGTTCCCTGGGCTACTGGGCCACCCTCCTCAGATGTGCCTGGACACTCCCCGGCCTTCTCCTGTGTGAGCCCCTGGTGGTGGCCAGCAGTCACAGCCAGGGCAGCCCACGCTGGACAGAGCCCAAGCTCCACCCAGGGCCTCCTGCTCCCTACCTCTGCTGCCCCCTGGTGGGCAAAGCCTCCCCCACAGGGAGCTCACAGGTGACCCCTGCCCAGGGAGGGGCCAAGACACCCCCTGGGCTTAACACCCCTTGTTCTTGCAACTTTCTGCAGGACCCAGGGCCTGAGCCCTTCCTGCCTACCCAGGGTGGCAAACGGAACAGTGGGCAGAGACAAGCATGTACCCCCATCTTCAGCCCATGCGGGGAAGCTGAGGCCATTGCAAGACCACTCAAGGAAACCGAGGACAAGATGAGGAAGCGAAATGGCCCACACAACCGACACATGGCACCACACCCAAGGCCAGGTCCTCCTGAGCCAAGTCCTCCAGCCAGGAAACCACAGGTGATCCACCCAGGACACCGCAACTGCCATCCCTCGGGCAGCCACCCATTCACCTGGCCAGGCCACAGGACTAGTGGGCACAAGAACTGGGGGGGGTCTCCGCTGCCCTCTCTCCTTCTGCACACCTGTCTTCCTCCATCCCCACCACTCCTCCCCCATCACTCACTCTGCCTTTGCTCTGAGCTCTTTGTTTATGGCGTCCACGGGGCAGCTGTAAACTCAGCAGAACCCCCGGGTCGTGGAGGCCTCTCTTCACAAGCCCCATTTGTTTATTCATATGTTATTTTTGTTCCTCACTTTTAATTCATCCTTCTCCCTTTCTTTCTCTCTTTACTTAGAGTCTCTCGTTTTTTTATAAACTCCATGTACCAAATCGGACCAATCAAGACCCACCTACGACGCCCTCATCCTTGATCCACGAAGCTCCATTTCTCAATTTTCGTGCCTTCCCTCGCTTCCTATTTATGCATCCATTTGTCCTCCCTGACTCGTGGGGAAACGCTTTTACCTATTAAGTCTCCTGTGAACATTAACTGCATCAGCCACGACCTGAAAGTCGTGCGGAAGCAGCAGCTCTCCGGCCCCGGTATTCACTCGCATTTGCGATCTTTCTCCCCCGCATTTAGTCACCTTTTCCACTTAAGTATTTATCCTTTCACTGATGGGCCTCAACTGCAGACGTTTTATCACCGTGCTGGAAGGTGCAGCCCTCTTTAAGACCAGCCTGGTCCTTTATTTTTCGTGTGTTCTGTGAAGGTGTAACGTGTTTATCTATTTAAGGAGGATGCGTGTGAACTCATAATCCCCTTTCACGCACTCTCTCTTAATTACCCATTTATCACTTTGGTTGCTTGTTTATTGCCTTTTTTTTTTTTGGTTTCTTTTTTTTTTCTCTCTCTCTTCTCTCTTTCTCCCTCCTCCTGGGAACCCGGGTCTGGGTCTGAATTATCTCATCCATCTTAAGGCTTAGCGACAACCTCATTACTAACCCTCACAGATCTGCCTCTTCCAGACACACCCACGTCCTGGTGGCCGATTTTATTGGTCCCTTTACCTCCCTTTTCCTTTATCTGGCTCCACCTCGCCCTTCCTTCTCTCTTGCCTCTGTCATGCCTAGGGACCTCAGGTGCGCAAAGGAGATGAGCCAACTCCCCTGGGTGGCCCTCCCGGGCTATTCCCAACATTTCCATTTCTAATTCCGTCATTCATGTGTCCATTCATTCTTTCTGTCACTCTTTTACTTCAATATTTATTCTTTTATTGATGGACCTCAGGTGCACAGAATTGGATTAGCCACGTCCGAGGTTCCCAGGGCCTTCTCAACACGGGGCCACGTGGGGCTTTCTTTTGTTCGGAAATTCCTTGTACTGGTGATTTGGCCTAGGATTTATTTACCTATCTCAGGGGCCCGGTGGGGAAATGTGTCATAATTCTTGCTGCCTTCTCATTTCTTGTGCTGGCGAGGCTGCCTCTCACGTATTCATGTGCATTTGTTTATGCGATCGGTGGATTCATTGCCTGCATCCATCTTGTCACAATTTTCCACATCCCTCCTCTTTCTCCCTCTTGCATTCTTGTGTCTGTGAGAGGCTCGTGTGCAGAGGGGATTAATCACGAGCATGGCCCCTCGTGTGTTTACCCCAGCCACTCCTCACTCCGTTCTTTCTGATATTTGCTCTTCGACTGAGGAACCTCCGCGGTTACTCTTCTCTACGTTTAATAACATTTACTCATAATATTTAAGTACTTATCCAGCCAGGGCCTTCTCTTCTGCGTGTCTATTTTAATTCTTTTCCTACATCTTCCCCCTTTTTCTGGCTCTTTTTCTTGTGATCTGGTGCTAACACCTGCCTCGATTCCTTCTCGCAGCCTCTGGCTTGGACCACTTGGACCACAATTTGTTCGTCTGTGTGTGCGCCTGTGTGTGCGATGCTGGAGAGGGAACCAGCAGACCAGCTCTCCTACCACTGAGCTACCCACCGGCCCAGGGCCACAATTTGTGATTCATGCTGATGGCTCGCACTAAACAGACCCTCCTCTCAGAGACTTAATTGTTCCACTTATTATCTTTTATACTTCTTTTTCCCCTCATTTCCCCTCATCTGATGGTTTCTATCATTCTTTCCCCTTTGATTCTTTGGGACACCCGCACCCAGGATTGGATGACCCTAAGCTGCTCTACGAGAGCTGCCCATTGGTGAACGCAGATCTTTTTTCCTCCTTCATTCATTCGTGCATTCGTGCATCTATTCAGTCTCTCTCTCTGTTTAAATACTCACTCTGCACCTCTTGATGACAGGTGCACGTAATTGGATACATAATATCTGCGGTTAATGGGCCCACCTCCCTGGCCCCACCGAAGTCCTCCCCAACATATTTTCGCTTTGAACTGTCTCTTGGTCGGTGGGTCCTTGTCCGTCTCAGAAGCACTGATGTCAATTAACCAGTGTGCTCGGTCCCCACAGCCTTTCATCCTGGCCTGGCTTTCTCTCCTGCCTCTGTGCGTCTATTTACTTGTTAATACGTTCTCTTTCTTCTTTGGCAGCTAATTTGTGCGTGATTTGTACATGTCCTTCCATTTTTCTTTGTGCCTCTCCCCCCTCTTCCTTGCAGGCTCTCATTCTTTGACATGAATCAGAGTAGGCAAGGAAGACGCAGGGCGGAGCGCTGCGTGGACGGCAGGGTCAGGAGGACGCTGCACACACCCTGGGCGGCCCACGCAGCGCCGTCTCCTCTCTCCTTTCCTTCCTTCTCTTTAGGCTGCATTTAATCTTCTACTAGTGGAATGAGGTGCTCAGAGTTGGACTCCTAGCCCAAGCCCCTCTCATGGACCCACCCGTTTCTCCATTTCATAGCTATGACCTTTTGGCCCTTGTCTCTGTCCCTTCTCTCGCTCCCATGGAGCTGGGGTGCTGGGTGGGGTGCGGGAACCAAATACAACAACACCCTCTCCAGGCCCCCATCCTGTTTATTTTTTAATTTGGCACTGGGAACTGAACCCAGGGGTGCCTAACCACTGAGCCACATCCCCAGACCTTAATTTGAGACACGGTCTCACTAAGTTACCAAGGCTGGCTTTGAACTTGTGATTCTCCTGCCTCGGCCTTCTGAGCTTCGGGGATTACAGGTGTGTGCCACTGCCCGTGGCCCTTTCTTTCAACACTCACTGACTGGTTCATTTAGATACTTAGTGTTTCACTGAGGCCCTGACACTTATTGTATTGAATCTCCATGACTCCAACATCACCTCCTTTTCTATCTTTGTTGATTTGCCCATCCATGTTTCTATACTTAACATTTGTGACATTTTTCTTCTTAGGGTTGTAGCTTATCTATATTTTCTTTTTTCTCCTTCCATCTAGCAGAGCTCATTTCCCAGCACTTGGTGACTCAAATCCCCTCAGACCCGTCTCACCTGTCACCTGGGGACACTCATTTCTACTGTTCCTGTTCACCTGTCCACATATCCATCACTCTTTTTCTTTCCTTCCTTTGTTTTGGCATTTGTGTATTTGCACAAATACTAGCTCGTGTTTGGCCCTCCCTACTTACAGATCCAATGCTGTATGGATCTAAGTGTTGACCTTGGGGCAGCAGGTTGCATGGTCCGCGCACACTTCCCGGCTGGCCTGTCACTCCACATGTATTGTTGGTCCCCTCACTCCTTGCCCCTTCTATTCACTCATCCATCTAATCACTTGTTACACAGTGTGACAACATCCCAACAAGAAATCGAAAACACTCACTCCTCTTAGGACTTTCCTGCTTCCTCCCACAACTTAGCCACCACAGTCACAAACCCACAGTTCAGAGACACACATGAATGGCAGATGCACAGCAGAGACAGACAAATGCTAGTTTACTGTTAAGATTCTCCCAGGGCTCACATCCTAGACCTACTGGGGGCTGAGCCAAGGTTACAACCCCCATTCCCCAGACCCCCTTGGGAGGGCAGGCGCTTCCTGCTCTGCCCCTCTGGACCCCATGAATGGCCATCCCCATGAGAAACCTGTTTCAAGACCCCAGAATACATAGACACACACATGGTACATAGTCTCGCGCGCGGTGGGAAACGGCGGACACAGGGTTCACTTTTAAATAGGTGGCTTTGTCTGTAGCAATATACAAATATTTTGGCCTTTCAAGGCAAATACAAAAGAAACTCCCTATTACCATCGCTGAGTGTCTCAGTCTCAAACAATAAAGAACTTGAAGAGGTTTAGCCGGAAACTTTGAAGACAGAAAACCTGCCCATTATGTGTTCCAGACATTTCGAGGGGGTGAACGCAGGTCATTGGAGCTCGAAGCCCAATTGAGAGGCTGGTCCCTGGGCCTGCATTTTCTCCTTGGCCCTGTGAAGGGCCCCCAGCTCACAAGGGCACTTCCATCCTAGTCTGCCCTGCACCATAAGAGCCAAAGGGAGACTCGGTGATGAAAGGGCCATTCATTTAGCGGAGTGAGAAAGGAGAAATTCTTTGGGGGTCCCACACTTGAAGCTGTCTATAGAATCTTTTTTTTTTTTTTTGCTGTAGAAACAACACAAGGGGGCCGGGGGCTCTCGCCTGAAAACCCGAGCCCAGCTCGGCACCCGGCTTCACTCGCTGGGCGACCCCCTACCCCAGACGCCTGGCAGAGTGCTCTGGGCAGCAGCCCTCCCTCCCCTGAGGGCCACTCGGCCACAAGTGTGCTCATTACACTCTGGCAACTTACGATTCAGGGCTGGAAGGTGCCGGGGTGCTGTGTCCGGGGCGCTGGGGTCCTTTCCCACGCTGGATTTCAGGTGAGGGTCTCGGCTAGAAGGAGAAAGCACCCTGTCACGGACAAGACCCCGTGGAGCCAGAGGTGGCAGGAAGAGCGGCGGGTCAGGGGGGACAGTGCAGGCCTGAAGCAGGGGCTCCCCAACCTTAACACGCTCACTCTCCTGGGAGCCCACTCATCCCCCGGCTGTCTGCAGAGTGGACAGGCAGGTGCAGAGATGGGGAACACGGCTCCCCACCCAAGAGCCCTTCGGTGGGTGCAGCCCAGGGCTCAGGGCTGCTCTGCAGAAACCAAAGGCCACCATGCAGCTGGGGACGAGCTGACACCCACAGGGCTGCTGAGGGTGCAGGGTTTTTAACGGGCACGTATTTCAAGGGATGAGGTGATTCCAGGGTGCCCAGGCACACATCCCCACTTGAACCACGGTGGACACACTAACAAGCCTCAAGGAACACCCTGACTAGGGCACCAAGTCTTGACTGCAAGTTTCTGCCTCAAACTTCAATTCTAAGAGTGAGATCAGCAATGGTGTCCACGTGCCATTATAAAACTGTCAGAATCCACAAACGTCCTATACAGAACGAACCCCAAACACGCAACTGAAGAATCATATATGGGGGGCTGGGGATGTGGCTCAAACAGTAACACGCTCGCCTGACATGCACGGGGCGCTGGGTTCGATCCTCAGCACTACATAAAATAAAGATGTTGTGCCCACCAAAAACTAAAAAATAAATATTAAAAAACTCTCTCTCTCTCTCTCTCTCTCTCTCTCTCTCTCAAAAAAAAACGAATCATATATGGGGGGGCTGGGGCTGTAGCTCAGTGGCAGAGTGCTTGCCTGGTATGCGTGAGGCGCTGGGTATTATCCTCAGCACCACATAAAAATAAACAAATAAAATAAAGGCATTCTGTCCATCTATAACTACAAAATAATAATAATAATAATAATAATAATACACGGGGAATAAAAGAACCAAGGGCCGGGGATCAAGTTGACCTTGGTTGGTGGAGCACTTGCCTCACATGCACAAGTCCTGGGTTCCATCCCCAGCACCACCACCAAAAACAAAGAAAAAAATAACGTCTAGATACCCTCCCATCAATCACAGCAGACCTTTCGAGCGTACAAGATTTTAACAGGAGGGGAACTGGTCGGGGGACCCACATGGAAATTCTCCATATTTTCCTCTCAATTTTTCCAAATTAAAAATTGTTTAGGAAAAAGAAAGTCTCTTCATTAAAATTTAATCGTAAAAATGGTACTAGGACTGGGTAAGGTGGTACACGCCTGTCACCTCGGCAACTCAGGAGGCCGAGACGGGGGATGGCGAGGCCAAGCCAGCCTGGGCAACTCAACCAGACCCTCGTATTTTTTTATTTTATTTTTTATTTTTATAGTTGTAGATGGACACAATATCTTTATTTATTTATTTTTATGTGGTGCTTCACGCATGCGAGACGAGCGCTCTACCCCCGAGCTACAATTCCAGCCCACGAGACCCTATCTTAAAATAAAAAATAAAAAGTGCTGGGGGTGTAGCTCCGTGGTGGAGCACTTGCCTAACATGCACGAGGCTCTGGGTTCAATCCCCAGGACTGAAAAAAAAAAAAAAGAAAAAAGAAAGGGGGCAAAAAGACTAGAGTTTGGTAAAGGTAGATTGGTGAATGGCAGAAAGGGGGTTTAGACCATGGAAGGTGGGGGGCTGGGGATTGGGGCAGAAAACACATTAGAAAACATATCTGGGGACTATTTTCCTGGTGAGACACAGATAAAGGCTTGGGTCCAGTGCCGAGGTACCCAAGGCCACCTGGGAGACAGAAAAGCAATGGGTGGACATGGGGTGCTATGGGGAACCTGAGTGGTACCAGTCCATGACATCACGAAACCACGGGTCCCCAAGACCCCCTGGTGCAGGCTGCCAGATGCCTGCCTCACTGGCCCCCCAGGTACCCTAAGAATGAATAACTGCTCTCCAGCTACCTGTCTGTATCCTGACCTCAGTCACTGGGAACAACCTGCCACCACGCCACCCCCCACAACCTGGGACATCCAAAACCCCATCAGCTCTTGCTTCCAAATCTTCCTACAACTCCTTCCCTGGCCTATGCTCCCAAACATGGCTTCCCATAACGGGTGGATCGGATAACCCAGAGAAAGTCTTAAAAATGAGTGTTCGTCAGGCAGCGGCGACCCGAGGGGCCCTGGCGGGCTCTGCTTATCTGGAAGCTCAGGACCACCTATCATGAGGTAGTCCAGACCTCCCGCTGGGCCCGAGCAGGCGGGTGGCGGCCCATCATAACCCCAGTCCTAAGGTGACAGTGGACTCCAGACCCAGAACACACCGAAAGACCAAAGGCACTGCCACTTCCCACGGGAATAGACCCCGACCCTTGGTTCATGGCTTGTTTGGTTCTGTTTTGTTTTTTATAAAAGAAGGAAAATCAGAAGCAGCTCAAGGCATCTGGGTTTTTTCCCCGTGTCTGTTCCAGAGACCCCCATGGACCCTCAGCGCTCCCGACTGTCCTTAATTAACTCTGCCTACAGACCCCAGGCTCCTCTGCTAGGACGCAGCCCAGGCAGAGTCGTGCCTTGGATTTAAAAACTGCGTGTACCAGCTCCGGTCTGCTTGGCGTATTAATAATGTGGTGCTGGGCTGGGATCTTAACAGTCAGAAAAGCTGCAGAGATGAGTCACTGTCTGGAACCAAAGGAAAAACAAGGCCCCCTCACAGAGTCCAGAGGGACAAACTGTCACGAGCATTCGATCGAAATGTTCTTGAGTGCGTGCACCGAGCTCGTGGCCAAAGCACCAGGGGACACTGGGTGCACCCCCCCTGCCCCTGGCTCATCACGACTACAGCCCCCCTCTGCATCCTCAGCTGTAAAGTTACTCCTCTAGAGGCAAACAGGACCTAATTGATCTGGCGTGTCTTTGGTACAAATATCTTATGGATGTTTTGAGCAGAGAAAGACGTAAAAGGGTTATTTTTATTAAAATGTTGACTTTAAGAAAGAGAGCCTGTGGTGACACAAATAGCCAGCCCTGCTCCCACCGTGGACTTCCTACCTGTTGAGTAAATGCCACCCTTGTCTAACTTCCCCTGACAAATGTAAGCCCTTTGCAGAGCTAATTTCCTGTACCTTTGTGAGACTGGGGCCCTGGACATTATGGGGCCATTTATGAAAAAGGGAGCGGTAATTGGGACATCTTTTGAAATCGTGTCCCCTCTCTGCGCCGGGCCCCCATCAGCCCTCTAATTTTAGTTGGTCGGGTTACAGAGGATGTTTACATATGCCTCTTCCTGGAATTTCACCTCTTTGCTTCAGGAGTGGGCAATTAGAGAGAATTAGGGCCTATTTGGCGCATGTTTACCGTTAATGGATAGAGGCTGAGGCAGCCTTGGGAAATGCAGTCTGCCGGGCTAATTGAAGCTGGCAATTTTTTGATTCCTCATTTCAGCTCAGGTATTGTAGCAACCAAGGTCACAAAACAAAAGCTCCAGCCCACCATGGTAATGACCGGTGCAGGCCTGCCTGAAGGCCTGCAAGCGACTTATTACCATAGGCTGAAGCATGACGGAGAGCTGGAGGCCTCTGCAAAGCTGCCTGAGCCGGGCAGCCCCACAAGGGGAGGGGGGGGTGCCCATCCTCTTTCCAGAAGTTTCCAGGCTGATGGCTTTCTCAGAAAGTTCTCAGCTGAGTGGGGTTTTGACAAGGGTCTCCTGACCCAAAGGCACAAGGTGGGCAGTGCGGACAGTGCAGCTGCCACACTCTCCTGGGACCAAAGCCACTCTACAGCCCAAAAAAGGTGTCCAAGGCTGGCCAGAAGCCCGTGTGTTTACCACGGTGCTCCTCACACGGGGGCCCTGGGGAGCCCTGGGCCCTGCCTACACCCAGTCTCTGACCTACAGTGAGGTCTGTGTCCTCAAAAGGCTGGCAAAACACTAGCTGGTGGCCATGAACCCTGACCACTGGTCAAGCAGGGGCCTGTGGCCAGCAGAAGGCCCCACACCAGGGTCTGCTAAGCTCATCATGTGAGGTCTCTGGCCCCCTCACCTCTGAAGTGGGGGGCAGTAAAACCAGAAGCCTCCCAGGTCCCTGTGACCCTAAAGACTCAGTGGACATGCACACAACCCACATCTCACCACCACGGAGTCCAACAGAACTCCCAGGGCCCTCAGATGACCACAGGCCTGTATCCCCCCACTTTCTAGATGGGAAAATTGAGGCCCAGAGGGCTGGAGACAGGGCCTAAGGTCACACCCATCATGAGGTCTGAGCACAGGTGGTACCCAGGTCTCTGGAAGGTGCCACTGCCTGACCCTGAGTCCCCCCATCTCTAACTCTCTCCTCAGACCACCTGACAAGTCCCAAACAGGGGAATGTGCCTTGCTAGGAGGCCGGTGGGGACCCAAACTGGACACCCAGGACCCTATGCTCCCTCCACAGGTGAAACAGGGTCTTGACTCTCCAGCACCAACATCCTGAGCTGCTTCTGACTTACAGATTATGGCTGCGGCTCCATTTTACAGATGGGGAAACTAAGGCCCGGAAACTAGCAGTAACAAAGTAACACTGGCCACAGTGAGACCCAAGCCTTCTTCCTTTTACGGTGGAGATTTTGCTACTGGTTGCGTGGAGTGGCCCAGACCCTCAGAGCTTGTGGGCACGGCTGTGACACACAGCTTCTCCCCAGCCCAGCAACCACCCTGGCTCTGCCTCTGGTCCTCCCTAACCACACACCTGCACCGTGGACTTCAGAGCCCCCAGCCCTAATTTCTGAACCTGCTGGGGTGACTGAAGGAAGGACCCGGAGGCGGAAGAGCCGCACAGCTGCGATCCCTGGTGGCCAGCACAGACATGCAGTCAGCCTCTGGCCCCTCTGACTGTCCTCCTTCCCCAACTTTCCATTCCGGAGTTCTGTCTCCTCAGCCCCATTCTGTCTCTGTGGCTGTCTTTTGGGCTTCAGGCCCAGTTTGATCCAACTCTTGTTCACAGTTATAGCCATTGCAACTTTTCTTCCCCCAAAAAACTTGCACAAATCCAACCCTAAAACCAGAGAGTGAGAACAGGCTGGCTGATGAAGCAGGTCACCGTGTAGCGTGGGTCTCTGTCTGGTCCTTTGGACCTGACACACACAGGGACAAGGGCCCCCCCACACAGACACACACTAAATCTCGGGGAAGGGAACTGAGGTGGTCTTTTCATCTGAAGAAAGGGCACCTTCCGTGGCCAGCGTGCATTCCCAGGACCTGGGAAAACTCTGTGGCACCCGCCTGATTATCCCCAGGTGGCTCCTCTCCACTGGGCGCCCCCATTCCTTTCTGCCTGCGCCTTTGTTTCCATCCAAGCGGCCCTGGGAGCTCCCAGGCTAAGAGTCTCCTCCTTAAGCCCCTGCCAAAGACCCTATTCACTGTGTAAAGAGAAGCCAAGCAAAAGGTGGAAGGAGCCCCCTCCCCGCCCGCCCGGCTGCGAGTTAAGAACTCCCAGACCATCTGCATTTTTTTCTTAAGCCCAAAGAAATTGGAGAGCAATTAAGAAAGTCATGACTATCCCTCAGCCACCGTCCTCTCCTTAATTAACTCCTCTCCCACACACAGCCCGCTCGAGTTGGGGGGCCCTGCCGGCCCTAGTCATCAGGCACCTGCCCTCCAAACCAGCCCGCCACAGTCACCAGGACCTGGGAGCTACAAAGACAAATGCAGACATGTCTGGAGACCTGGTTCTGAGAGGCCTGGGTAAAGGGAGGGCCCAGAGGCACTGGAAATTCCAGGACCCATGACCACCTCAGAGATGGGCCTCCTGGGTGCTGGGCCCCAGGGTGCCCGAGGAGATGCCAGCAGGGCAGGCCCCTCAGTGGTTCCCTCACTTGACCTTCCCAGCCTCTGATGTACCCCACACTGAGGGGAAGTGCCACCTCTGTGAACCCCAGACCCCGGGAACCCTGCTTCCCCCAGGTCCTGACAACAACAGGCTTGGAACGGCCTCTCTGAACCACCTGGGCATCACAATGAATGCCCTTCCTACTGGAAGGTCCCTGGCTCTCTAACCGGGAGCCCCACACTTGAGATGGCCTCATCCAGAAAAGTTCGACCCTTCCAGAGTTTTCTATCTGCTCAAGCCAGGGATGAGGGACCCGATTCAACTTCCTTGTTCCTCCTTCGGTAGAGGGGACAGGGTTCAAAGCAGCAAGGGGAGGGGGGACTCGTCCTTGGGTCTCATTGACAACCATTTAAATTCCAGTCTCCTAAAGAGAACGTGTGCCCAGTGCCCCCGAGTTTCCCAGTGCAGCTTCTACACCGTGCAACATTGTCGGCTGCCCTTTAACCCTCTGCAACCTCAATTTATCTCCCTCCACACCCCCTTCTGTGCAAGTCTCTGCTCCTCTTTTCAAGGAAAAATTCATTAGCAAGCTCATTAAAGGATGGGTAGATCTCCCCCCCCCTTCATTCTTTCTGGAAGTCAGATTGCTCATAAAAAACACATTTAAGTTACTTCATGTAAATGAATGAATAAGAAACACATGCATCCTGTTGCCCTTGAGTCTTGCCAGGTTTTGACATTATTTGGAGAAAAGTACTTGGAAATAGGTTTGGAGGTTGACTCACGCCCCAGGAGGCCTGAGGTTGGGGCCCTGGAAGCTCAACAGGCAACTCGCAGGTGGGAGGATGAGGGGCTGAGTGGGGCCCCTGTGTCCCTTAGCTAAACCCTGGCTCTCCTTTCCCATCCACCCAGAGGGCAGGTGGGAGAGGAGGGCCAGCTTCCAGACAAGACCCCCATCTATTCCCAGATATCTGTGCCCACCAGGAAGAGCCTGCTAGAGGTGGGCCCTGGGGGACTCTTTAGCACAATGACAAGTGACCAGAGACACCATCACCCTCCCACCAGGGTGACAGGGTCCTCTGTGCCTCGCTGCCTAGATGGTCAGGTCCTCATTTCTACCCCCTTATTACGGGTGCTGGGCTCAGGGATTGGCCAATCCATCAAAAATGTTCATTTCCCTCAACCCTTAGCCTCCTGCAAGAGCAGGCTGAGTCTCTGCCAGGCTGATGGATCACGTTAGTTTCAACTTCGTCAGTTGAGAACTTGGTGTATTCTTAATTTATTGTTTCACCTAATGACACACAAAACCCCCCCAAAATACATGTTTGCCTGGGACCTGACCTTCACAAGGACTTGGAATAGAACTCAGTCCAAAGACTGAGACTATTCCAAACTCCTGGGAGGCAGGGGGCTGTCAGGGTGAGCCTGCAGAGGGGACTTTGGCCTTGCCTTCACTTTCCCTTCACCTTTTTCGGCTCAGTCCACCTTGCGAGAGTCCCGAGCCCTCTCTGAGGAAGGAGGCTCGAAGCCACGGGCATTTGGCTTGGCCCAGCTACGAGGACGCTTCATCTAAGCTCCGGATATGATCACCTCTCAGGGGCCCCGCATCCTGCCCTGTGCAAAGCTCTTCTCCTGGGCCCCCTCTCCACGTCACTGTGTTTGCAGGTGGCTCAGCAAATGCCAGCTGTGGAGTAAATGTCACAGGGCAGAGCCTTCCTGATGCCCTAGGCACACAGCTCCCGCCTCCCTGCAGCCTGCAGGCTCTCCAGAGAGCAAAAACAAGCAGACCACACATGGCCCCCGCTTCTGGTACCTGTGCCCCTCTGCCTGTGCGAACGGGTTTTGTTTAAAAATAATATCCCCTTCCCATTTCAATTTCAGGGGAGAAGGGCAAGGTGCAGAGCAGGCGTCTCTGAATCCTCTGTTTGATGAAAGAACCTTATGGAAGCTGCGTGCTCCAGCACAACCTCCCTGGGAGGGGCAGGGTGCATGCAGGCCGCCACATCTGGGGGAACTGGAGTCAGTCAGGGGCCTGGCTTGGAATTCTGTTCACAGAGGCTCTGGCTGGGACATCAAGGGGGTGTCAGCTGGGACAAGGACAGTGCTGGGCCCACTTGAGGCTCAGGACGTGCCTTCACCCCCTCCCATGGCAGCCCAAGCCCAAGCAGGGGGAGCTCATGTGCCAGCAGGAGACCTCCCAGGTCACCCACCAGACTCCCATGCCCCCCAGGACAGCCCGATCCCGAGCTCTCGGCGGCACTGGTGCATCTTGAATAAGTGAACCACAAAAACAAAGGACACACCCTCGAGTGGTTGCCACCTCTGATCCCAACTTGCTCCTCCCCCACCATCGCTGATTTTATTTAAACAAACAAAAACATTCCCGTCTCATTGCAATTTCAGGGGTGAGGACAGGGGGCCAAAGGAAGGACTCACTCAAAACCACCATTTGATTAAAGGACATTATCAAAGCCCCGTGTGTGACACCAGCGTTCTCACAGGCAACGACGTTGCCATGGCTGGCGGCGAGAAATGTCTTCGAGCAGGAGCAGAAGGGCCCCTTCCACGTCCCTGAGCAGGCACACAGGCTCCACCAGGCTGGGCCAGGGTGGAGGCTCCGTGTCTCCTTGCACGAATGTGTCAGCTAAGCTTTATTGAGCTTCTACTGTGTACCTGGCCAGTGTTGGATGCTCCCCACTTACCGTCCCTGGCTGGCAGTCACTGGCGGTCACCATGAGGAGTGGGCCACACTCGCCAGCTTGGCGTGGCAAGGTCTCTGTTCCAGGCTGCTTCAGGCCCCAGCCCCGCCCCCCAGCTCGATGTGTAAGGTCGGCATGTTACCTGCCCTGGCTAGGTGTTTGTGCCCCTGACTGAGGCTGTGTGAGCTGACCCTAACGAGATCGTGTGTTGACAACGGCGAGAAACAACTCACCCCAATCCTGGAAGGAGGCCAGAGGCAGGTAGAGAAGAAGAAGGGTCTGGTCCGGTGGTGGGGGTCCTCCGCACGTCCATCCACGATCTTCGGCCAACTCGGCTATGGTCCCACGCCGTCCACGGTGGACGAGTCCGGCTTTGTGGAGGGGGAGATCAGAGTTATTCGAGAGAAGCGTCCCAGGAAAACCAGACACGCAAAGACGCCGGGAGGCCGTCACGCCTGCAACGCGCCTCTCAGTGGAGTGCGGCGGCTACTGGGGATGAGCCGTGAAGGAAAAGATGCAGGGGGGATGCCAAAGGCCCAGGTGGCCACCCCAAAACCAACACCTCATGGTCAGCTAGGGGCCTGGCAGGGCCGAACTCAGGACTCCTGGGGACCTGGTAGCAATATGGGCAGGCTGGGGACACACCCACCAGGCAGGAAACGGGGGTCTCTGGGGCCAGCAGGATGGGATGTAAGTTCAGCTACAGCCCGGGGTCACTCAGACTAGGCGAGGCTCACAGGAGGTAGCCTCTGAGGGTGGTGGCATGAGACGGAGACTCCAGCAGGCTCGTCTCACGGGAACCAGGAACCTGTTGGAAACTGAGAGAGCTCTGAGTGGGCTGGAGAGTGGCATCTGGCCTTGGTGGCAGGGCTGAGGGCAGCAGGCAGGCCAGGCGGCCACAGAGGTGAAGTGAAGGAACCCCAGCATGTCGGGCAGAGGCTAGACTGAAGCAGGGAGGACAAGAGTGCAGGCCGGGCATCGTGGCAACGGGCTACAGCAAGCAGAGTGCCAAGTGGGTAACCAACCTGGACCCGGGAAACCAGCAGAGGAGCCACCAGGTAAGAAAAGCAGGTAGGAGCCAGGCAGCGCAGAGCCTGCACACGCCCCTGGAGGTCCCCAGCCCTCTGTCCTCTAGGAGGACACAGGCCCCAGCCAGCAACAAGGGGCCTAAGAAGCTGGACTGAGCCCCAGGGGAGGAAGGAATCTAGATGAGGGAGAGGTCCGACTCACAGACCCCGATCCCAGAGGGAGACCTGTGTGGCCAGAGGCTAGGGACACATGCTGCAGCCATCCCTATGCAGCCACCTGGGCTGAGCTTCAGGACCACAGTCCACAACAGCCATCCACACCTTTGTGGGATGGGGGAGGCAGGGGGGCAGGCCCTTGGGGGCCTGAAAAGCCACAGACACCAGCTGCGCCCTCCAGCTGCCCTCTACAGGGCTGGAGCCTGCTGCTCCAGCTCCTGGACAACCCCCCGGCCCGCCCTCCCAGGGGAAGTGGAGGCCATCAAGGGACTTGCTAGGTGACAGGTGCCAAGTTCAGGGCCGGGGCCATGGGCTCGCTCAGTTAGGATCAACTGTTGAATGACGGCATGAACGCGTGAGTGGATGCAGGCTCGGCCAGCGAGGCCCCTTCAATGAGGGCTGGGGCAGGAAGCTACCCACTCCCCTGACACAAACCGCCCTCCACCCTTTAACCTAGGGTCCCGCAGGGCCCGCTGTGCTGCTGGGGTGGGGGGGTCCAGCCCTTTCATTCACTCACCTGTCCAAACAGACATCCCACATACTCTTACTGAGCCCCACTAATGCCAGGCTGGTGCTTGGGCACCCCAAGGAGGGGGGGCAGGCCTAGGGCACTCTAGAGGGCCAGAGTCGGAATTGGTGAGGGAGGGGTCGGAAGGGAGAGAGAGCAAGAGAGAACACAGGAGGCAGGAGGCAGTGACAGCAGAAAAAGAGCAACTCTCAGAACTGGGGAGGGGGGGGGGCTCTGCCCAGCCCCTCTAGGCCTCTTGTCTCCTGAGCACTCGGAATGGACTAGATGGACACCAAGTCAGCAGTGGACTCAGGTGTGAGAGCCAACTCTGAAGCCAGCCTGGCCGGCAACATGGCCAGCTGCTCTCCAGCGGGGGCTGAAAGGGAGTGGGTATGTGATGCCACTTCCAGAGGCCTCAGCCCTGGTCCCTGTCCTGTCTCAGCACCTCTCTGGGGAGGGTGGACAACTGCATCCCACCTCCGCAGGGGGGGGGAGGAGCGCCTCTGGCTTTGGTCTCCGGGGACCACTGCCGTTCCTCCATATTGCTCTCCTGGGGTGCGGGTCAGAGCTGGTTCTGCGACTTGGAAGAGGGTCAGTCCTGACCCACAATGCCCCAGATCCCTCAGCCTGTGAAGGTCTGATGACCTTCTCCTGCTCTAACCCTCCCCCTTCTCTAGTTGTTCTTCCAGTTCCCTGATGGTGTGGCTTGAGCCTAAAGTTTAATTGGAGTGATCTGATCTTGATTGATCTGCCTTGGGGTGAGAAATGTGCCCAACTTGAGACAAACAGTGTGAATTTCCTGCTGAGGATGTACCTGTTCTAGAGATGTCGATGAGCTCTGGGGTTCAGGATGGGGTGGGACACTAAGTGCAAGGGGACCCACTACCCTGAGATGCAGGACCTGGGGATGGAACCACAGGTCCGCCACTGGGCTCCAGCACCAGCCTCGGGTCAAGCTGTCACCTTCCCCTAGCACTTGGCGGATAGAATCTGAGAGGCACCAGCTCTCTGAACCCCAGTCTCACCAGGGTGACACACTGCACCCTCTCTTGGGCCCATGTCCCTCTGCCTCTCAGCCTAGAGGGGGCAGGCTGGGGTGCTTGACACCTCTGACTTGGAACTCTACCGCCACCTGCTCATCCAGGTAAATTCTCAGTGGGGCCTAACACAAGTCAGGTGTGTGCCAGGGTTGGACACTGACTCCTGGGGTTGCCCCAGGCCCCTGCTGTTGAGGGGGACAAGTGGACTGGCCTGTTAGGTGTGTGTGCTGGACGGGGTGCAGCCCCTGAACCTCACAGCCTGTTGAAGGTAGCCTAGCTTCAACTCCCCCCCCACGGATTGCACTGTGACAGAGGCAAAGACTTAAATGAGGAGCAAAAGGAATGTCACTCGTGGCACCAAAATTAGAAGTGTGGCTTAAGAACTTGCGTGGCCCCTGCCCTGCAGACGCCCGGTTCACCTCATTATGGAAATCAGTGTGTTTCCTTCGCAGACAAAGAAGGCTAGTCGTGAGGCCCACACTGGAATCCAGCAGCTACCTCATTAGCGTCTGCGGGCTCTTCCTTGGACAAGGCCTAAGATTAGCCCTGAGTTCATTAAGGGAAAGGGCGGAAGGTGGAATAACACTGAAAGCCCAGCCGGGGGGCAGGGAGGCTCTTTTCTGCTGGCCCCTGGCTCAGGGCCCCATGGCAGTACCCTGTACCTAGGGATTTAATCACCAGTCGGGGCGGAGGGAAGGGGACAGGAGGCAAAGAGGTTAAACTCTGGATGAAGGAGTTAAAAACCCAAAATGGGGCTATTTGATTTGAAAGCTTCCTGGAATTTGTCATTGGGATAATCGATTTAAAAGCTTCCTCCTGTTTCCTTTCTTCCAGCCCCACCTGACCTCGGAGGAAAGCTTCTCCTGGATGAGTTTTCTGGGGGGTTAATATTTCCTAAGTCTCCACTTCCTACCTCTTTGTCTTTAATGCCTTTCCTAAATTGTTGGTTTCTTCTTTCTCTCGGCCCCTCCCTCCTCCTTTCTTTCCTGTCTTTGGTTCTCCCCGTGGGAACTGAACTTCTAGGAAAATCTAGCAGGGACTCTAATTGCATTTTCTCCCAAAGGCTCCGCTGACTTGGCTTCAAGTCCCTCCCTCGGCTAGTAGTGTCTGCACTTACCTGCAGCCTAGTCCACCTCACCTGGAAAGGTAAAGGTGTCAACCCTGTTTTGCAACTGAGATCAGGAGTCTCTCGGGAGAGCGGACTTAGCCCACCGCCTCAGCCCTCGTGTGCTGAACTAGGACTCGAACCCAGTGCCCAGGCAGCAAGGCAAGAGGCAGGTTTCTGAAGTCAGGAGGCCTGGCTCCCAGAGATAGGAGCAAGGGAGGCCAGAACAAGTGACCCCGTGAAGCCACAGGGAGAGTGTGTAAACGGGTGGGCCGGAGGCACAGAGCCACCCAGGTGAGAAGGAGAAGTGTCTGTGTGTCCATGAGCCGGAAAGGTGTCAAGAGTTAAGGCACAGAAGTCTTTACCTGAGGGAGAGGCGCTGGACGGAGCAGGAAGCAGTGGGCTGAAGAGGAAATGGAGGTGAGGAAGGAAAGCAGCGAGTGTAGACAGGTCTTTGGAGAAGCTGGGCTGCGAAGGAAAGACAGACACTGGAGTGGCTAGAAGGAAGGCCAGGAGGGGCCTGGGGCTCCAGGCTGCAGAGAGCCAAGTCAGAAAACCAGAGGGGCCACCGAGGTGGTGGAGGACAGGCCTGAGACAGGTGCACATCTACTGCTGGACCCTCAGAGGCAATGGGGCACCGACGGGTGCAGGGGAGACCCAATGGGAGGAGCCACTTGACAGCCTCTGCTTCCCTGGGAGGTGACAGGCCAGTCCTGGGTCAGGACAGGGTGTTGTGAGGATCAAATGAATGGATGGTTGCAAAACAGGGGACATGAACGTCCACTATTGTCACTCATTGACAGCAGGACCCTGGATTTTACAGCTCACTTGAATCATCTATCTCGCCAGGGCCTGGATTTTCGCTGACCATAAATTATTCTTCTGAAACATTAAGGATGTAAAAACCAGTGGTAAAAGCTCCTGCCAGTCTCTGGAAGACAAAAGGTTCCCTCCTAATAGCCTGAATTAACTCAAAGCGGGTCTCCGCCCACCTCATTTGTCACCTTCCAAGTCATCCTTCCACCTCCATTTGCCACATAATCCAATCAGCCCCTTTCAGATGCCTGGGGCTATTGTCCAGCCAAGCTGGGCTTCTCTAAAGCAACCCAGAACGGTTTTTGTCTTGTCCGGACCAAACTGGTTGGCTTAAAAGGGGACCAAAGAAAGTGGTGGTCAAATGAGGTCCCCAATTAGCTTCCAAGAGACTGTTTTCGTATCTTTGTACCCTACGCCTAGCCTGGTGCGCTGGGCATATTGTCAGTGTTTCAGAAAATGTTTGTTGAACTAATTCTGTTTTTAGTTATTCTGTACTTTATTGACTAAGTGTGAACACACCCAGCACCTACTGGGTACTCCCTAATGACTGGGGGGGGGGAGAGGGCTGGGCAGCAGTGAGCCCCAAGGGCCGCCTGTGTGACAGTGTCCTGCCGGTTTACAAAGCACTTTCACAGGCCTTACATCATTTAGTCTTCAAAAGCACCCTGTGGGGTAGGTAGAGGAGGGTGGGTTTTTATCTTAAATCCCCATTTAGACCATGAAAGGAATTGAAACTTGGAGAAGTTAAGCAACTTGTTTTAAGGTCACACTGTTATTAAGAGGTGAAGCCAGCACATGGTACCAGCATTGGGGCCACCGGGACCTCTAAGACCACCCTGGGCAGCAGGGGTTTCAGACAGACTGTCCCCTGGTGGAATGTTTGATTTGAAATTAAAGAAAGGCTCTTAGAACTCTGGGCTGGGGGCAACAGGGGGACCAGGGGCAGCTACAGTGGCATCCGGGGTCCAACCGTGACCCCTTCTCTTGCTAGCAATGTGGCAATATACTTACCTTCTCCTCCCCCCCCATTTCCTTATGTGAGCCCTATTCTGTGGGACATGGGGCGGGACTCTCAGAGTTCTCCTTCTTACCTAACTTTCTAAAACCCTGTCAATACCACATGTGTCCTCCTCGAACCTCAGCGGCTTACTGCACCCACATGTCACCTAGGACTAACATCACACTACTTAGAAAGTGCCCTGGGAAATGGCCGCATGCACGATGGGTGTTCTTACTCAAGTCCGCCCGATGGCCATGTTAGTGGAGCCCCTGCCTGATGCAAGGAGAGCCCCAAGCGTGGGGGCTGCCGGGAGTCTGTGGGAGAATAAATAACACGAGTGAGGCAAATGAGTGGCACTGGAAGAGGCTGACCTGCCAAACTCTTTCAACAAACATTTACTGACCACCTCCTCCACACCCGGTCCGGCCCCAGGCTTCTCTGGGTCATTTAATTCTCACAACAGCCCTAGGAGGTTGCTCCTATCATCCCCATTCCCTAGAAAAGGACAGGAAGACCTCGAAACAGGCGGGGCATGCCTTCGGTGGGTCAGGCGCATGCTCATTCCACAAGCCCACCAGGGGCCCCGAGTTGCCCATGAGGCACGTCAAGCTCTTGGCCCAGGTCCCCCTCCTGAGAAGTTCCCAAAGGGATCCTTCCACACAGGACATCAATGACACAGTCGGCCATAAAAAGGCCGACACCCCTTGGGGAGGGAAGCACTCCAGGTGGCTGGCAGGTGAACACAAGCAGAAGGCCCAGGAAAGCACACACACACACGAGCTCAAGCACAGGCAGGGGCTACCCGCCAATGCCCCCTCACTAGGGCATTGGTTTAAGTCTTTAGCCGGAAGGGTCAGCAGAGGGTGGGCTCTGGTCCTCTTCATCCCACGTCGTCCTGGTCTTGGTGGCTCCTGGAGGCTGCTTGGTATGCTGGTGGGATCCAGGAGTCCACACTCAGGGTGCTCTCTGCAAATGATCAGAGATATGAGTTGCAATTAAGTTAATTAATTAGAGTTAGAACTAATTGGTTAACATTTTAAATTGTGTTTAATGGTAATGGGTCTGGGGGTGGACAAGCTGGGTGGCCGGGCGTGGGCTTCTGTCGGCCATGTTGTGTACAGAACCCCACAGCAGGACTGAGGCACCGCAAGATGGAGGTGAGTGGCAGGCACCTTGGCAGCAGCTTGACATCGGAGAAGGTGGTCCTTGAAGACGAAGGGGTGAACCGATGATGTCATCCCTGAAGAGAGACCCTGTGGCATGGGAGGGGGCAGATTAGAAACCATCTTGATGACCCCTAACGGCCAGCACTGGAACAGCATAGAGAAGGAGGGGGCAGTTGGAGGGAAAGGGAAGGAGCGGGAAGGGGAGGGGGGTGTGGAGGGAGGAGGGGAAGGGGAGGGGGGGTGTGGAGGGAGAAGGGAAAGGGGGGGGGGGGTGTGGAGGGAGGAGAGGGGAGGGGGGAGGGAGGAGGAGGGAGGAGGAGGGAGGGACAAGGGGAGGAGAAAGGAAGGATGACGACATGAGCCAGGGAGGGGGAGAAGGTAAGAGGAGAAATGGGAGAGGGAGGAGGGAGAGAAGAAACGGGAGGGGGAGGTGGGGGAGGAGAAACGGAAGAGGGAGGAGGGAAAGAAGTGGGAGGGGGAGGAGAGCCAAGGGAGGGGGTAAGGATTACTTGATTGACAAGGCACAAGTGTTAACTGTGTGCGCCTGCGCAACTCAAAGCCAGGTCTAGCAGGCCGCGAGCCATTTGCACACAGAGACCGCTAGGGGGCGCGCGGCCCGCACTCAGAGCCCAACAGCACAGCCACCTGCGGCGCCCCCGCCCGCGAGCAGCTGCCTCAGAGCCAGGCTGGCGTAGGTGGGCGGGGGACGCCCAACAGGTCTCCGGCCTGGAGGGGCACCACGCACTCAGCCCATCGCCTAGGGCCGCCATGTCCCCAGAACGCCTCTCCAAGTCTCCATCAGCCAGAATGCACCTATAGACATCGGGGAGCACACACACACACACACACACGCCTGTGTCCAGAGGGTCTCCTGCGCCCCCTACCACAGGGGTCCCCTCGCACCAGAGAGGGAAAGGCACCTAGAAGACCCCGCCAGAAGGGGCTTCTCAGAGCACGATTCCACTTTTGAAAGGTACAGAAATCTCGCCTCCAACCTTCGGTCCAATTAAACAAATTAATTAATTAAAATTTAAAAGGCCCAGTTTTCGATACAACGTTTTCACTCATTTTTGAGGTCTCGAGACACACGACGCAGCCTAAGACGACCACCCTGGCTCTCTCGCCGTCGCTGCCAGCAGCGACAACCCTCCCCCCGCCCCAAAATCTTGCCTTCTTCCTGAGCCACGCAAGAATCACGACCCCGCATTATGGCGCCTCATTAACTCTTTTACATTCTCTTCATCTGCTCCACTGCGCCACACCTTCCTAAGACCCCAGAAACCAAGAGCCATAAAAATAAACTAATCTGCGTCCACGCTCTTCCAAGACACCCCAAGTCACACAACCAGTGCCGCAGAGGGCATCTCCGAGAACCTGCAGGCGCTCCGCGGGGAACCTGAGGGTCTCAGAACATCTTCCCCTTATGTTCATGAACTCAGAATCTTCTAGTAAATCCTGCACCCGACCCCCTCCACTAGGAGAACAAAGGCCACCTCCCCTCCCCACCCCGCCCCCCAAAATTCCGCAGTGCCACCAGCGCCCTCTTGCGGCCAACAAGAAAACCTTCCAGAAACCTGCCACGTAGCAGCCCGCTTGCGCCCCCCCACAGCCCGCCAGCCCAGGATGGGGAGGGGGCGACTTGGGGGCTTAACAGGGACAAAGGAAACGGCAAAATACGACTTTACCAAAGTCAAGAACCCACAACATGTAAGAATCTTCCAGCGACCATCACTCCACGCGCAATGCTGACAAGACCCGGGCCCCAATTCCCAGCTCTCAGCACCCAAACCCCCCCAACACACCCCCTTTTCTGAATTTCTCCCTTCCCTCTTCCTAGATGCAAGCACACAGCTTTCTCTCTATTCCAGCTCACCTCCTGTTTCCATTCTACCTGTACCTCAATTTCGTGACCCTCCCCTCAACCCCCCTTCTCTACGCAACTGGTTCTAGGGGACTGCTGGCAGGTTTGCGCTTGGGCACCCTCTCTCTCCACTGTTAAAGTGGCTGATTAGGGTAGAACCAGATGTGGTTTACAGATTTTTTTTACTCTCTTCTTTACATGGAGTCGGCTCTGCACTAAACCTGGGTACTTGGATTCAGAGTCCCTGGCTAATAGGAACCTCTCGCCCTCACGCCCGTGGTCCACCAATAACCCAGCTAAAGACTAGGGGGGAATGTGCTCCCTTAGACCCTTCTCTTCGGCCCTTTCCCCTCCTAATTCATAGGGCATGCAGAAGGCATCGCCGCCATATCTCCCACTATTAAGGCGATTCTGAAGGCGGCTTCGAACCCAGAATATTGGTGTTTTTGGACCCCCGTGACTGCGGCACACTGGTTCCAAAAGGAGATTGATCTGATTCCCCCCGCTCATCTGCGTCAGAGTCCCTGCCACTCAAGCTATCCTCAGCGACTGGACAAGAAACGGACCCTGATGTCCCCCCAGGAGAATGTGCCTCGAGATACCCTTCCTGACAGGATTTCATATCCAGTGCATGCTTGGGGACCAGGCAAAGTGGCCGCCTTCAGGAGAAGGTCCCAGCATCGGTCCTTCGGCATGTCCAGGAGGACAGAGCCCAACCTAGAAGGGGATGGCCTCTTTCTTTTGCACATCCTTGTAGGCAAGGATGGCCAACCACTTACCAAGAGAGGGATTCTCGCGTGGGCGCCCCGGCTCTTCGGAGGAGCTGCAGCCTTGGGCTAGCAAGCCAAGGCGCGCTCCATCTCAGCTCTCCGCGGTCTGCGCTAGGGGCTGGCTGGGTGGGGTTTATATGGAGGCGCAGAAGGGGTGGTCTCTGACGTCAGCGCATTCTGCTGCAATGCGCTCATTTCTCTAAAAGTGATTGGCCGGAAAAATGAGCCCCCCAGATTCTATGACAAATTGCTCTAGCCGCACCCAGATTGCAGCAAAGACGGAGGAAAAAATTCTGCCGCAGTGCCCCTGGCCGCCATGACCAACACCCTGTGGTCGCTGGGGCTTCTCCCCTACATGAGCCCTAATCGGGCAAAAGAGGATGATTTGTATTCACAATTTATGGGGAAATCACCCGAAGGGATGGTGGTCCCTAGAGAGGCTGAGGCTAGAGGTAGGGTCCCGGAGCCAGCAGATCACACACCTGGCTATTTCGGAACATCGATCAGAGGATGCGGGCTTAGGGAAAGAAAATGACGCTTTTTGCTTATTGTTCTGGAAAATAAAAAGCCTGAGGGTAAGATAACTGGTTCCCAAATGTAAGCCTGTGGCCGTCACCCCCTTCTAGCTCACCCTATTTCTGATGCGTTATCTTTGACATAGGAGACTCAGCATAGCGTCTGGAAGTCAGGAAAACCTGGTTTTTCCGTCCCGGGTTCTGCCGCTTAAAACGGATATACCCAGAACCCTGCAACGTCCCTTGCCCTTTCAAGGGTTTATTTCTTCCACTTAGTAAGGGGGTGCCTTCTCCTTCCCCCCACCCTGCGAACCAGGATTGTAATGAGAATGTAGATTTGAGCCGTGTTCCACTAAGAAAACTACTTTCTGGCAAGGAAGAGTCCTATATGGCGATGTCTGTGATGCCCCCCAAAATTGGGGTGATTTCACAACACATACACTTTGAAAGAGCCCCCCCCTCTGCCGCAGCAGCCGCGGCGGGCGGTGGGGGGGGGGCTCAGGAAAACAGGCAGTGACACATGTTGCTGAGGAGCATAGCTGCATAGCCTTGTGCTCCGGGACTTGGCACATGAGAGTTAATCCTTAACAGGTGGCCCCTTCAGCCCCTCTGCCCGGGCCCAAGTGGCAAAGTGGGCAGTGCCGTCAATCAAAATGTCCTCTTGCAAAGGTCAAAATGCTGTTGAAAGGAACTAAGGATCTATCTTAGGGTGACAGGTGGGTGGCAGCCGGGAGGACAAGGAAGGCGCGTGATGACAGAAAGGGGTGAGAATGAGTGATGGACCCCAAAGGGGAAAGCAGAGGAGGCCATAGGGAGAGTATCAAGTTTAAAAAGCTCTCCGGCACTTCGTTGGGGGTTTCATGATACTTCAGGGTGAGCCTCTCATGCCCAGCAATCCTAGGAGTGGGCTGTGAGGGAGTAGGGCTACTGTCCAGGGAGGAGAAAACTGACCATCAGGTCTCCCGAGACTAAAAATCCTCAGGCGAGGGGCTCATTTACATGTGATTCCGCGCACTATTGGGAAAATACGGATTTGGGACTTTGCGGGGCATCGTGAAGAGCTACCAGAGTGTGTCAGACAATGGGGGAGAAAGAAAATACCCCATTTTCAGCTTGCGGAACACGCAAAAAAAACCCAGATACAGGAGCCCCCGCAAGCAGCACTGGCGAGACAGAAAGGCCCACACCAGCTGCATACGTCAAGAACATTTCAAAAAATCATGGCTCCAAGCGCCCCAGTCAACAGAGAACGTTTATTAGCCACGGTATTAATAGCTAGGAAACAGCCGGAGCTGGCCGAAGCCAATCAGCATCCAGAAGCCCCTGTCGTCAGGCCCCCGTGGCCAATCAGGCGCCAGCAGGCCCGGTTGCTAGCCTCTGGGGGCAGAGGCGAGGGGTGCTCAGCGTCACGGGGGCTCGCGATCGCGCTGTGCGTGGGAGTCCAGGCGGCCACCAGAGAGCATCAGTAGCCACGCACTTGGGGTCCTTGGAGGCCTCCTTGGAGACCGTCTTAGATGCATTGCCTCTGGCATCATCCCTGCAACCCCCAAAGAACACGAGGTGACGTTTTAGAGGGAGCCCCAAGTCTCAGTTGGGGTGCCCTGTGGGGGCCCTAGAAGGAGAAACCTTCCGACACTCAGTATCCAGCTTCTCTCCTCAAGGCCTGGTACCCGTGAGAAAAGTTAGGTCTGCGGATGTGAAGTTGGCCTCTGCTTTTTTTCTGGGTCCCCTGGCCCCTAAGTTTGCTCCTTAGAGTCTGATGGCAAACCCCACCCCTCTGCTCCAAGGCCTTATCTACAGGCCGCAAAGACCCTGGAAATTTCGTTCCTGAGAAAAGAACCGCGGGTTTGGATCTCAGCTCTGCTCCTCCTAGCAGGGAGGCTGAGGTCCAGGCCCTTCCCCTCTCTGGGCCCCTATTTCCTCATCTGGAAAAAGGAAAGAGTTGGACAAGAGGGTCCCCAAGGAGCCTTCCAGTCCTGCTTTGCTTGATTTGAATGTATACATCAGGCGAGTCAAATGTCTTCCAGAACATTCTGCATGACAGTAATTAGTATCAGGTGTATCCTGCAGTCCATGTGGTTACTTCATCATGCTCTTTTCTTTCCATTGTATTTTATTTTAAACAGAACTCCATGGCAACATGTTTATCCTTCTGGCTTCCTAAAAGAAAGAAAGAAGATAGAAAAAAAAAAAGGCAAAGAGAGAAAGAAAAGACTGTTGTAAACTAATCTCTACTGAGAGTGGTTTAACCACAATTTAAAAAAAAAATCCATATGTTTAAAATATTTTGATTGGCTTTTCTGGAGCTCAAAATCGAACTTTTTAAATATTTATTGGTCCAAAGAAATGGAAGAAATTCTTGAAGAAGCCAGACCTATGGTAATATTTGGATCTGAACTGTTTCTCGATCTGGGCAACACTGTACATGCTTGCCCTGCTCAAAAAGGACATTTGAGGGCTCAGATTCATATCTTAGGGGAAAACAGACAAGGAAATCCAGGTTTGAGAAATTGAGCACTTTCTCTCTGTACAAGCTGAAACCCAGCTCTCCCGCAGTCCTGGAGGAGAGCCAGTGTCCCAGACACAGGGCTTAGTTTGCTTCTGGTCCTCCTACTTCTTCCTCTTCTTCCTCCCCACCCCAACATAGATCTAATTCAGAGCACACATTTTTCTTCTTTTTTTAATTCATACTTGGGAACCCTCAAAAGCAGTGTGAGCAATCTATCCACATGTACGCACTTGTGGGCAAGTGTACAAATGTCCTAAGACTCAGCCAGGAAATGAACACAAGGTCCTCTTTTTCATCTCCCAGGCATGGGTAAATGCACTGTCTTTTCAAAAACCGTACTGAGGGTATTGCAAAACAGCACACTAGAGTGCCTGCCTCTCTAAGCAGCCTCCCCGTCTTCCAGGTCCCTTAAAACATTAGTGTTCCCCAAAGATCTCTTAGCGCACTCTTCTGCCGTGGGTGGCTGCAGCCACAGCTGAAGCTGCTTTAGTACCAGGCCTGCTGCTGCAATCCTACACTTGAGTTCCCCCACTAGCCTCTGGCAATTCAAACCTCCAGGACCCCACATCCTTGAACTGTCTCCCCCCACTCCCATTCCACTATAGAAAAACCTAAACCAAAGTTAGAGAAGCTGCAGAGTGCACAGGGGGTCTTCCCCTGAGTTCCCACGAGGCTGTTAGGTTGTTTTGTTTGTTTGGGGGCTGTTGGGGGACAGAGTCTGGCATTGCCAAATAGATCCGCTGTGCTTCCCACAATGTGCAAAACTGAGCACCAAGCAGTGCAAGATTTAAAGGAAAAGATCACACGACAATCTCCTCTTCTGGGGTCCTGGAGCTGGCTATTGTAGAAAGCACACCGACCCCAGCTCCCTAGAGTCAGAAGCGCTCTACTCCCTGAGTTGGGTGCAGTCGCTACTCGGCCCAGAGAAGTTTGCAAATGGCAGAACCTGAAAAAAAAAAAATTAATAAAGTTCAGCACCTCCTGCGGAAGGCCAAGGACGAAGCTGACTTCCCAGGAGGCGGCTGCACATATGTTTGAGTAAATGTTCAACAATAAGCAGTTGCCCTTTACCGCCTGACTCGGCCGTGTGCGTGGTGTGGGGAGAGGGTGGCCAGTTCTTCAGGGATACTTTTCCTAATGAGGGCCGGTGGAAAGAGCTGGAGGGCAGCACTCCCAAAATGGCCCCCCTAGTTGTTCTGGGGAGTGGATTCGGGTGGTTTTTCTTTGTCCTTCTACTTTTATGAATCTCCATAGTGGCGTGTGTCATTTCCACGATGTGCTTTTTTTTTTCCTCTCTCTCTCTTCTAATGCAGCAGTTCAAGAAGACTGGGTCATTTCACATTTCAGCTCTTCCTTAAAGACTTTGATTAAAAATATTTTTTCTCATAAGTAAATAAAAATCAAGGGACTCAGGCTTCATGTTCTGCACAGCACAAGGCATCTACTGAACACAGGAGTTCAGTGGTATGGGGGTGCAGCCATGCTACTGGGCCCCACTTTCAGAAAGGAGCTCCTAAACCCACCCTAAGTAGATTTCTAGCCGACAAGAGCAAGAAAAGTGAGTGTTACAGGAGGAAACTAGAGAAACACAAGGCATGGGGCCTGGGGGGACAGGCGGGGCACTGGGTTAGATTTTAGAAGTGACATCTTGACTCTAGGGAAAGTGGCCACGCTGCCCTGTTCTCCCTTAGCACCCCAGGCCCCCTGGCCTTGGGCAGGGGCCAGCCCCGGATTCAAGCTAGGGGTTTTCTTGGCCCCACTCCATGGAAATATTTCCTTCGGTGGAGCAAAGAACTGCTTCATTCAACTGCCTGCGGCTAGGGAGGGGGTGGCTTTCAGTGTGTTGACAGAGAGCAGCCCAGGTCTGAGGAGGGGCCCCTGGGCAGAAAATGTATTCCAGGTAGAACAGGACTGGAAAGTTTGCTCTGCCTATTTTTTTTTTTTTTAATTTTAAAAATTGCTGACGGTTGAAAAACTGCCACCCCACCCCAGAGGCTCCCGGAGAAGATGTTTGTAGTACATTTCAGCAAAGACTAGAAATGTCTTACTGTCAAAATGAAGGGGGCCGGGGCCGGGCACCCTTTCCGTTTAAACATTCAGGATCCAGATCCCTCCAGAGCCCACAGGCAGCCTCTCTGAGCCACGCCCGGTGACAGCCCCGTCTCAAAGCTAAACAGAAGACACCTTTGAGAGTCCAGGATGCTGGGAGATGGCCCTTAGAGACCCTGGGCACAGAGAGGCCTATCCTGGCACTGAAAGGGACTAAGAAACACACCAAGGGTAGCAGGAGCACAGCAGCGGGGGCTACACTCGAGAAGGGCCCGCTGCTGGAGTTGGTGACAACAAGCCACATACCTGATTCGAGGAAGCTCAAGGTGGCCAATGTCCATTACTGATTTTCTTCCCAGTATGCAGGTAGACCAGCAGTCCTGCCTGGCGGCTTAGGGTTCACACCTGAGATCATGAGGTCAGATCTAGGTGTAAATTCACTGGCTACCTGTGTAACTGTTGGGGTGGTGGCTGAACTTCTCTGAACCTCCATCCATACAATGGGGTTAACTGCCTCCCTCATCAGAGACTAAATGGGGGAAAGAATGTGTGTCCACTGAACCCACTCAGTTAGTTACACACACCCCGTATCCACAGCTGAATGCTGGAAGGCTGAGCGAAGAGACCTTGCCGTTTCCCATGTTGTTAGCAATGACTTTCTAAGAAGCATAAGTGTATTTTCGTGTATATATATATTATATGTATAGTTTTCATATATAAAAAAAAGTATATATACCCATGCTTTTTTTTCTCTGAGATGAGGTTACTCCATGTTGCCCAGTCTTCAAATTCCTGGGCCGTAGCCATCTTCCTGCCTCAGCCTCATGAGTAGCAGGGACTAATGGTGCACAGCACCGCACCCAGCACTGTTATAATTTTTTAAAAAGTTAATCCTACATACCAGCTAGGTCAATGAGCAAACAGTATCATCCGTGCCCTGCCCCTGACAGCTCCCTTCCCTTCAAACATCGGTGGGATGACTTCCAAGGTCTTTCTCTCCAAATTTCCTGTGCAAACTGCTCCAGCCTGCAGTCTTGGGGATGGGCCCTGCCAGCCTCCACCATCCTGGAGAGAAAGGAGAAGCAGCCTCCCCACCCAGGCTCCTCAGCTCAGCCTGGTGGACTCTCAGTGGCCACCTACCATAGCCACCCACCAGAAGTGTGTGGCTAGACTCCCTTCCTAGTCAGGACCTCCTCTTGTCCCAGAGCCTGGGGTCTGCAAGAAAGTCTGTAAGCTCAGTGGGAAAACATCTTCTAGATGGGAACAGAAGTCCCAGTTCTGGGGCGTGCTCAGCGGTGGAGTGCCACGTTGCTCAGCCGGCTTGAGGCCCTGGTTTTGTGCAGCGATTCCCAAAACTGAAAACAAAACAAAAGACAGTGGGTGAGAACTCAGGCTCTGAGGTCAGGCAAGCTGGTGGGCATTCTGATGACCTCAGTGAGTTGCAGCTCGACTCTGGCTGGGTTCCTTCCAGCTCTGTGGACCTGGGCTTCCCTATCTGTACAATGGGCATGATCAGTGCTGTCCTCCAGAGCTGTTGAGATGGCTAAGTGAGGTGTGTGTGCGAAGCCCTCAGAGAAGTGCTTGGGTACCAGTACCCCACTGACCCAAGTGCCACCTTTCTAGCTCAAGATGCTGCCTCCAGGGAGGGCAATCCAGAGATGCCTCCTTTCCCCCCAAGGATGCAGAGCATGGAATCTTTACCAAGCCCTCCTGGACGAAATGACACATCTGGGCCTGGCAGTCAAGAATAAGAACGGTGCGCCTCTGGGCCCTCCACCACCAGCCCTGCCCAGAATCCCAGGGTCAGGAGAGTGGCAGAGAGTCCAAAGCTAGCCCACTCTCCTTCCCTGCTGACCTCGGACACACATATGTTTATTGCTATCCTGCAGACACATCTTGAAGCCCACCCCAAAGCTGCATGTCCTCCCAGGCGGCGTGACTTGACCACCCTGGGCCACTAGGCCTGACTGAGGGATGCTGAGGGTCATTCCAGAATGCCACAGGTCACTTGGGGTCTCTGTGCTTTGCCCCTGTCTACTAAGATGCCCAGGTTTATGCTGTGCAAACGCCGCACCCTCTGAGACACGACTTCAATGTTCAACATACCCTTTAGGTGTTTGCGGAAAGGATGAGTTTAAAGGCGCCTGCCTTTGGGTAAACGGAGCTGCCCTCGCATCTGACGATAGCACTGAGCAAACACAGGCCGCCTCCGGAAGGCTGCCCACTCCCACCAGCTCCCAACCCTGCCCCAGGGCAGGTAGGTCAATAAGGTGGGACCTAGCTCTCTGAGGATGCTGCTTCATTTGGCTGAGCCTGGGTGTCCCCTCTGCAAAAAGATGAAAATTAATATTCATGCCACCAGTTTGCTCTGAACACAGAATATAATAGACTTAAAACACAAAAACAAACAAACAAACAAAAAACTCCTGCATTATCCATATGAAAATGGACCTCGATGGTCAGCGTCCCTGGCAGCTGGAGAAGTAGAGGCTCTCTCTGAGCCAATCACTGAGCCAGGACTGGCACCCTCAGAACTGGCTGCCCCTAAATCCACCAGCTGAGCTTTTTCACAGTTCACTTTTGCATAGTCAGTCAACTTTAAAGGCGAATACAGTGCCTTCCTTCATTCAGCTCAAGGAACTCACTGAGGGCTGGAGGCCCCCTGCTCTAGGTGTCTGGGATAAGATGACAGAGAATGGGGCAGCACCCCCACCAAAAAAAAAAAAAAAATCAAAAAAAAATTCTCAGGGCCAACAGAGAGCTGTCCGTGCTCCTACTGTGCGCAGGGCTCCGCTCTGAGTGCCTCTGCTGGATCTCAGGTGGGCAGCTGGCTCCGTCCAGCCTCTGTAAGTGAGTGCAACCCACCTCCCCAGGAGGGTGAATCAACAAGTGGGAAATTGTCATTTAACCAGGAGGGCGAGCCCAGTAGGGGGCTGGGATGCCCATGAAAGGCTGGCATCTTGGCCGGGGTGGGAGTATCAGGAACCTGGGCCCACGTCCTTTCCCGAAAGCCTGGCTTTATGTACATTTCCCAGAAATTCTCTCTGTTTATACTGAGGGGCCTCCCCAGAGCAGAAGTCATTCAAATCCTGTTTTCCGCTGTAAGTCACTTTCTGGCTGGCTCAGGGCACAGGCATCTCAGAACGTTGAACGTATGGCCACGTGGCCGCCTCAGAGATCCAAGCAAAACTGTCCGCTGCCCAGCAGAGCTATCCTTGAAAGGCTTCAGTGTATGTCCCAGCCCCTGCTCTGGGGCTCCCTGCAGGGCCCACACACACCCTGCCCAGCTGGCCTTTTCCCTGCCCAAGTCAGGACCCTGGGGTGGAGGGAGAACTCTGAGGAGGCCCACTGGGGAAGTCGGGAAATGGCCGGGGCCCTTGTGCAGGCTTCTCTCTCCTACCAGGCTGGAAAGAAAGCCCGGGTGAGAGTGGGCACAGGCAGAGGGGAGAGGAGGGTGGCTGAGGGGATCGAGCGCTGGCTGTAGGAACACACAGACCCCTCTTGGTGCTGTTCTTCTGCAAGGGTCCCCACTTGGGCTGCCCTTGGCTGTGTGGTTCGGGGCTATGGGGTGCCTGGCAGAAGTCAACACCATGCTTCCAGATGGCGGAGGTAAGGCTGTGCCCGCCGCTCCAACCCTGGGGGAGGTGGTGGGAGGCAGAAACAAGATTGAATGATTCCAACATCTGCTGCAGAGGCCCGGGAGTCAGGCAGGATGGCCTCTTCCCACAGCCGCATTCCTGGCAGGCTGGGCGGGGCCTCTGAACCAGGATCTCAGCTCAGGCCGCCCAGCCACCCCCCAAGTGCAAGTCTATGCTGAACAGAACATGGAGGCCAAGCCATATTCTCTGAGATCCAGATCTTCACATGGGAACGCAAGTTCCCTTTAAATAAAGCAAAAGCTCCCATCCATCCCACCAAAATTCACACTCTGCAACCAGGCTTTGCTTTAGACCCAGGTTCAGCTTGGTGAAGATCCATCTCTCAATCCCAACCTCCAGGCAGGAGGCTGGGGCCCAGGGGCAGCCTCACTCTGTAGGGCATTGACAGAGAGCCAAGAGGGTACTGGCTTCTTGTGAACCATGTTGAATGTCCTGCAGCCTTTTGTCTTATTTTTTAAGATCTGGATTCTTTGGCTCGACTATTCAGAGATATACCATTAAAACACCACCCTACCCCATGCAGCGGCTCTCATTGACTTTATATTATGTCTGCAGTCTAAACGGGCTTGACTTCTCAGGAGGGCAATCTGGCAACATAGACCAAATGTTTAAATGCACACGAGTCTCAGTTCAGCCATTTCCTCTCTAGAAATGATTCCTGCAGAAGCACGGTGTGTGAAGATGCGAAGCACCACGGTTTCTGGCCTGGTGTTTCACTAACACACTTTCCAACCCCAGAATGCCACTCTAGATGAAATGAGACCTACCCACCCTCCTAGCTCAGGAAAGGGGCATGGGGAAGCCCCCCGGGCCATCGTCCCCCGGTTTACTTAGCTTGTGGATGATGGAGAAATCACCGCTCAAGTTGACCCTGGAATAAAGGCCCACTCTCCAGCACCCACCGAGGAGGAGCACAACGTCCTGAAGCCCTGGTGGAGCACACCACGTCATCACTGTCCCAGACACAAGGCCATGGTCCCCGGGTGTGGTCGAGTGCAGGAGGGCACCTGGCCCACGGTGCTGAGGGCACACTGTGTGTCATTGTGCACACGAAAACACCACCACACGTGGCCCTGTGGCAGCCATGAAGGCTCTCGCCACGCCACAGCGTGGCAAACTGGCAAGCCACTTAGCCCCAGCCACATTACTGCACCACTCAAGGCTCAGAGATGGTTTGCAATCACTCATTCGCAGTTGGCCTATTTTCAAAGACACCGTCACACACGTGTGCACCCCAAAGCCCTCTGTACACCAGCTCAGAGTAGCAAGGTCCGCCACGAAGAAGTGCCCCTTGGGGAAGACTATGCCAGTACTGAGCCTCCTCTGAAACTCAGAGACCTCAAGTCCCTTCCTGAGTCCTCAAGGCTGTGCAGGGCAGGGGCTGGGCAGGCTCTTGGCCTCACCCATCCCCCACCACAGACACAATCATTTTGCAAACTTGCAAGACCTGATGGGGGCCTGAAAATTCAAGTGCAGGAGAATTCTTCCCCTTCTTAAAGGAACAGAACCTCCCCAGCAGGGAGCAGCCACCAGGACCCAAGACCACCCTCTCCCCAGAGTGGGGGACTTGTTGCATTCACTTTGAGGGCTAAATAGACACCACCCTGCATGGCAGTTTCCACGTGGCTTCCCGGGGCACACAAAGGAGCCTACATCCCATCAGGACCGGAGCAGGGATTTTTCTGGGGTCCTAGAAAACCGTACAGAGCTGCTTCTTACTATTTATTACGATTTTGAAGAACTGTAATTTGGTATTGGAGTCTTCCTTTTGTCTCCAAATCCTGCCCAACAAAGTTTCCATTTCCCACTGTTACAGATGCCCACCCCCAGGTTCAACGAGGTCCAGAGACTTGGCCACGTTCGTTGTCACTCAGGCCTTTCTCCTTGCTGTTCTCAGGAAAGTCACTGGCTTGAGTAGACAGGACAAGGGGCCCCCAGTGCTGGGGCCTGGGGATCCCGTGGGGGCTGGGCCCTATCATGCAGAGTCCTGCACAGTCTCTGGCATCACTGGCAAAGGTCAAAGGCTAAAGATCAAAAGGCAGAGGCAATTAGACTAGGGTCTAATCACTCAGACACTTCCTTTCCTTGTTTCAATCATGGGACAAAATCTGCTGTCATTTTTGTCACAAGACAGGGCTTGAGCCTAAGCACCCGTGGAGCCAGGAAATAATCAAGGTCCGTCTCCTGGGGATAGAGTTGCCCCAAACAGAAGCATATGTGTGCACATATCTGCGTCCACGTGTGCGTCCACACGTGGCGCGACCCTGTGTGCTGATTGAAGCAGCTGTACCTGCAGACAGCGGACGCCAAGCCGGCCTCACACACAATGCTAGGACCACACTTGGGCCCCTCCAGGCAGACAGCTCGGGAGAGCCGTTTCCTGAGGGGGGACGTGCGCAGCCGCCCGCCCCGGCTGGAACTGCACCACCCCCACCCGCCTCCAGCAGGGATTTCCTGGGCTGAGGTTCTGGCTTCTATGCTGGGAACTGAGAGCCGGGGAGGAGGATGGGCTAGTCAACAGGCTGAGATTTCTCTTGAAATGCAGATTTTCAGGTGGGGGAGGTGAAGGGCACAGGCCTTTCAGTAGCTGTTTTGTGTGTCTTCCACTAAATAAAGACATGCGTGAAGTGCCGGAGGACCAGAGATAACCTGTTGTCTGAGGCTCACAGACCCGTGAAATCACAAACCTTGACAAATCGGGGTGATCACAGGAATCTACATTGCAGAGAACTGCATCTGGCCAAAGTGCGGCTGGGAAGCCAAAGGGGCAGACAGGCTGTGGTCAGTTACAGCACCACGGAATTATGGTACAGGAGAGAGACCACGGGCAACTGGCGGGCCGTGGGCCAATGGCAGGTCGTGGGCCATTGGTGGGCCCTGACAGCTGGCAGGCCGTGGGCCCGCCACCACGGGTAATTGGCGGGCCAGGCAACTGGCCGTCTGCCGCGAACGTGGACCATAGGTAATTGGCGGACCGCAGTTAAATGGCGGACCGCGGGCAACTGGCATGACTCAGACTAACAAGAGAAGTCACTTCTCACAGACCCCAACAGCAATTACTAATTAGAACCTGAAGCATAAACATTGCCTGCTTCTCAAGCTCCCCAGCAGCACACCCTGCATTTTGGACCAAGCAATCTTGGGGTGAAGTACAGACACCAAACCTCTCCCAGGGTCCCCCAAATTCAATATTTAGCCCCCAGACCTGAAAGTCTCTTTTAGAGAAGGTTACAGCAGGTTTAATTTTATTTTTATTCCCGCCAGCCCAGCCTCCAGGTGCTGGGGGCCTCTGCCGGGAGAGTCGTGGCAGAGCTAGGGCTGCTGCCACGTGGGGGGCGGCACGGTTCCTAGAGCCTCCAGGCAGATTGATCTTTCACCTCCGGAGTATTTTTCTCTTCTTAAAGAAACAGAACAGTCCTGCATAGGCTGTAAGGAACAGCTCTAAGGGGTGGACTGCTCTTTGTACTCCCCTCAGCCCAAGTGGGCTGCTCCCCTCGCCCACGTGGAAGCAACCCAAGCAAAGCCACGCTGGTTTCCGTGTCCTCCCAGACATGACAAAAAGTCAGCGTGGGCTAGGGCTCACACCTTCAGCAACTTACAAAGACCGTGGGGACGTGGCTCGATGGTAAAGCACCTCTGGGTTAAAAAAAAAAAGCCACGTGGCCATCCACGTGGAATTTCGTGGTTTCTGAGAAAAATTGGTAGCAAAACACTCAGTATTTTTAGGAACAAGGCCATAAAATGTATTTTATTTATTCCCTTCAACCATGCTAGGACATGCGACTTGAGTTCTTTGGTTTTGTGGAACACCACCTGGCATCTCCCACTCATTGACTGGGCCTTGTCCACAAACATCATCCAAGCAAAGAATGGGGGTCACAGGCACACTCTTGGAAAAAGTGGGTTTTCAGTCCTGTAACAATTTACCTAAGTTAGGGTGAAGGTCTGGAGCAATTCCCACTGCACAATTTCAGCAAATACTCGAGGGGGTGCACAGAGTTGCCACAAAATTACCCTTGGCATCATTTCATAAAGATACCAGGCAGGAACCACATCTGAGGATCCCCAGACCCATTTAGTTAGTTGCCATCAGTGATGAATGGTGGTAAATCACCTGCCTCTCAGCAAGAACCAGGCAGGAGGCCAAAGAGGTCCGTGGCAAATTAGAGCACGCACACACACGGACCGTGGACCGCCACGGTGAATCGTGGACACTGTGCTTGGCAAATCCCAGCTCGGTAGTAGGATTCTCTTGGTCCAACCAGTAGCTAGCATCTTAGCATGAAGCCACAGGTGCCAAATCTCCTTAAATACCCCAAAACTTAATTCCTTGAACCCCCGCACAGCACAGCACGGGGAGAAGGTACTCCACCAGCCCAGCTGCTCAGGCCTCAGACAGAGAGAGCCATTTGCAAAACAATAAGAGCAAGGAAGCTCCTCCCGAACCCGGAAAGCCTCTAGGTCTTTCTTTTCTTAAAGAAACAGGGTGTAAAGAGCTGTTGTAAGGATATGATTTACCAAGGTCACCCTGGGGAGGGGTAGTCCTTGCTATTATTCTAATGCCTCCATTCCCTGGTGGGAGAGGCACAGAGCAGATACGGACATTTAGTGTCTGCAAGGAAAGTCATTTTGGCAAAATCAATCACCTCAATGTGGGGAACACCCGCATACCACTCCGGGGAGTAGCGATGTGAATGAACCCCGGTGAGTGCTGGTGAGCACGTGGTACGCCGTGCACTGAAAGCACACTCAGGCCGAGCTGCAGCAGGGAGGAAACCCAGTAAGCTTTGCTGGTGGATGCACAGGACGGTGGTACCGCAAACCGCGGGCCGCGGGCAAACCACAGGCCACTGGTGAACCACAGGCCACTGGTGAACCACGGCTGAGGAAATGCCTCACACAGTTTTGCAAACTTTGCAGTTCCCTCCCCTATTTGAGGTCTGGGTCATAAAAGTCCTCTTTACTTCTGAGCCACCTCACCACCCAATCTGGGCTCAGAGCTGTTGGAGATCTTGGGGGATCCTGAAACTGCCAAATTTAACCAGACAACTCGAGCCACGTGTGGGTACCAGAGCACAGCCCATAATGGGAAGCCAAGACACGGCGACACCATGAATAATGATAGGACAGCCTGCGCCACGCCGTGAGCTGACAAGTTCTGCTGGTGACCCACGGCACGGCTCCACGGGACACGGTGGCACAGCTCCACGGGACACCGCGGCACGGTTCCACGGGACACCGCGGCACGGTTCCACGGGACACCGCGGCACGGCTCCACGGGACACCGCGGCACGGCTCCACGGGACACCGCGGCACGGCTCCACGGGACACCGCGGCACGGCTCCACAGGGCAGCGCGGCATGGCCCCACTGCCACAGCACAGGTCCACGGTGTACCGTGGCACGTCCCCACAGTACACTGCAGCACAGGTCCACGGTGTACTGAGGCAGCGGTACATCGCGGCACGGATCCACGGTGCACCGCGGCACAGAGCATGAACCGGGTGCACCGCGGCACAGGTGCGTGGCGCACCTCAGCAAGGGTCCACGGTGATCCCCGGCACCACCAGGTTGTTACTGTTACAGTCACCCTCACAGTTGGACATTACCGTGGGTCCTGGGACCTCCATGTTTCTCCTTTCCAGTCTCCCCAGGCCACCAAACCACACTTTTGGTCATTGAAGCCCTTCTAGTTGTTCAAAGAGTGAGTGTGGGGAGTGAGCCCTAAGTGGCAAGGGGCGGTCTGCAGGGCCACTGCAGGTCTAAGACCCCTAAGACCCTAAAGCCAGATTCCCCATCTCTCAGGGCTGCGCCTGAGGAAGCAGGCACCAGACTCCTAGCACCCCACAGCGTCGCCGCTCCCCAGGTCAAGCCCACCGTTCCAGACACTTTCACACTAGCCCAGCGGGTAGCAGGGAGGGAACCGTGAATTCCAATTGCGGCTTCAGATAGTGAGATGAGCTTTTCCCTCCTCAAAGAAAAAGCCCGGAGCAGCCCTTCGGCTACAGACCACCCTGCCTGGAGGCGGTGCCTGGCACTCTCCCCAGTGACACGCCAGCCCGAGCTGCGGAGGGAGCTCACACGTCTCCCCAGCTCTGGGCCCAGCATCTTCCCCACAGTCTCCGCGACTTGATCGAGGGGTTCCTTCCCATACCGCTATGAGGGTCTCTCCAGAGACCCCTGGTGTCTAGTTGCTGCTGCTCTTGGGTCTCGGGAAACTCCGGAGTCTGACGTGGCATTTACATTATGGAACAGCTCTGTGGTGCTGCTGGGATGAACCCCAGGGCCTCGCACTTGCCTAGCTACACCCTGGCCCTGCCTCGTCAAACTTAAAAGTGACTTTGATTCCCCAATATCCTGGGTGCCTGCACCAGGGAAGTTAGGGTGTCTCGAGGGCCTCTATGGCCAGCACCCAGGTTGGATTCCACTCTTGTGGCCATCCCAGGCCTCTGAGTGCTGCTAAGTTTGCAAAGTCGGGGTACCCAAAGCCCCTAGCACAGAACCTGGGACGTGGCTGAGAAGGGCAGCAAAGAAGAGGGGCGGTGGGCTGCCCTGGGGTCCAATCCTCGCCGGGCCATGAGCCTGGGGGTTCAGACGGCTAGAATATTCTGATCAGAATTGAGCCCCCAAAGGACTCCTGTGTTCCGTCAAAATGTAAACAGGGCCTCCCTGGGGGACGGGTGAGGCTCTGGTGTGTGCAGACTGCCAGTAGCCAGGATTTGACAAGTGACGAGTCGAGGGGCCCAACAGTTCCCCGGGGGTCCACCGAGGCAGAGGAGCCCGTGGCAGAAGGGCCGCCGTCTCCTCTCGCACCATCAGAAAACTCTCAACGCCTCACTGCTGCTCCCCAGAGCCCCCGCTCACTGAATTCTCCCAACAGCCCAATCAGGGAGCTGTCATAATATTTTAACCTTTAAGACAATTACAGGAATAATTCTTGTCTCTTGTTTAAAAAAGAAGAACAAAACAGAAAACAAAAATCAGCAGACGCAATGGTGTGTGACCACGGAAGTGGGCTCCTTACCCCTCTTCTCCAGGCCTCCCGACCCGGTGCAGCCGGTGGGTTCTGGTATCCTGCAGGGAAGGCCTCCTCCAGAGGATCAGGGACGTGCTCAGGATGGCAATTTTCTGCGTGATCCCAGGGCAGGACCAGGGGACAGATGGCAGATTCACCTTTGTGCCTCGGGAGACGCTCTTCCCAGGCCAGCTCTGCAGAGCAAGTCCATCTGGGGTTGGGGGCCCTCCTTGGCTCAGGGTGGGGGAGGCACCTCCCTCTAGGCAGCTCACCTTGCCCTCCCTCCCTGCTAACCTGCTCTCTTGAGATGCTAAGAGACGGGATGGATTCTTGATGGGCCCCTCCTGGGTCTGGAACTCACTGGAATGGCTCTCTGGGCGTCAACTTCGGCCTCACAGTGTCTGAGGAGCGCTGTTTGCAGGTTCCCTTTCAACCGAGGAGGAAACCAAAGTCCTTAGTCTGAGGAGGAGACTGTGGTGCTGAGCACACCCAAGTCCTGGGGCTCTGACCCCAGTTCTTCCCCTCTGCGGGGCCATCAGGAGCTAGGACAAGCCTGGGGAGGCCTGGGACAACCTGCTTCCTCTCGGGGCCTGCTTCTCACCCGTCCCTCCCGTTCTCCTCCACCCCATCCCAGATCCCCCTCCACAGCCCCAGACCCACGTCCTCGCCTCCTTCTCCCCAGGTCTCTGACTTTAGGGGGACAGGTGTCCTCCCCAGGAGGAGCAGGAGGCCACATGCCAAGGCCGTGGCCCTGCCTACAGCTCTCCTCGGTTCTCTGGGGCAAGTTTGACAGCCATGACCGATTCAGCTCCCAGGGCCCAAGGTGGGCATCGGGCAGCCAGTAATGGGCACATCACGCAGGCCCGTGGCCTGTGGACGACACTGGCCCAACATCCTTCAACCCTGCACAGAGAAGACTTTGGGAAGAAGAGTTGTTGGGGGCTTTCTTAGAGGACAGTAGGAACAGGCCCTGAGGGAGGAGTCCTGGGGAAGACCCTCAGCAGCAGGGGCACCCAAGGGCAGCCCAGGCACTGCCAGGAAGACCCCTTTGGCCCAGGCCCCATACAGGGTGACAGAGAGCCATCTGGCATCCTGGGCCACTGTCTGAGCCTCACTGGACACAGGTCCTTTCCTCATCTCCTGCCTGGCCCAGGGGCCTCCCCAGTCCTGTGTGAACACAGCCCAGGCACAGGGCCGAAACCACGGGTGCCAACAGCCTCCAAACTGCCTGGCACAAGCCAGGTAGGAGCCATAACTCACTTGGGCCTTTTGACAGCCCCACAGGTACAGTTAAGTTTACCGACATCATTCACCCTTTGGAGCGCAAGGCATGGTGGTGCACACCCGTGATCCCAGTGACTCAGAAGGATGAGGCAGGAGGATTGCAAGTTTGAGGCCAGCCTCAGCCATTTAGTGAAACCCTAAGTAACTTAGTGAGAAATTAAATAAATAAATAAATAAGGGCTGAGGATAGAGCTCAGTTGGTAGAGTACGTGCCTCAGATGTACAAGGCCCTGGGTTCAATCCCCAGCACCACAAAAAAATAAAATTAAAAATTAAAAAGAGCTGAGGATGTGGCTCAGTGGTTAAATGCCCCTGGGTTCAATCCCCGGTACCAAAAATAAATAAATAAAAAAGAAAAAGAAAACAAGGCAGAAGAGAACACTGAGAAAGTAGTTGCCCCCCACAAGCAAAAGCCCCAACCTGCCATCACTACCTAGGAAGCCAATGTTTATGGGCCCACTTAGAAGAGAAAGAATGGGGTTCTGAAACCCCAAAACTGCTCTCCAAGTGTCCTTCTGGAGAGCTCTCTCCCTTTTCTTCCTCCCACTCTCCTTGCTGTTTGGTTGTCTGGTTGCAGACCTATGGGTGGACCCAGAGCCCAGGGCCTTCCAGGCTCATGTTCTACCCCAAGCTGAAATCCCAGCCTTTCGAGTAGCTTTTGTGGGTCTTTTTGTTTGTTGGTACCAGGATTGAACCCAGGGGCGCTGAACCACAGAGGCACATGCCCAGCCCTTTTTAATTTTTATTTTGAGACAGCTTCCTACTGAAATGCTTAGGGCCTTGCTAAGTTGCTGAGGCTGGCTCTGATCTTGTGATCCTCCTGCCTCAGCCTCCAGAGCCATTGGGATTTCAGGCATGTGCCACTGCGCCCAGTTTCAAAAAGTTTTTTTTTTTTCCCCACACTAAAAAACCAGAGATCTGATTGCCTCCATCCCAAGGAACACAGAGGATGAGGTTTTGTTGCTCTGCTGTTTCTGACCTGAGGGCCACTGGACCTGCTCGAAACTGCACATGTTTAAGTTGTCCCAGGTGATCTGCGTGGTAGCTCACATAACTGGCACTTCCCACGATAAAGATGGGGTGGTAGTCAAGGCCCCCCGAGTGTGCTCATGCCCTTCCATCATTCCTGCCTGCAACACCCCCTTCCCTAGGCCACCACAGATTTGCTCTCTCTGTATGGACTCCTTGGAATCTTCTAGAGTTTTCAGAAAATAGAGGTATGTACTCTTTTCAGCCTGGCTTTTCCCACCGGGCACCCTTACGTGGGGGCTCACCTACGTAGCCGCCGCCGTTCACTGCTTCTTATTGCTGGGTGGAATTCCGCCGCAGGGAGAGACCACATGACCCCACGCTCTTCCGTGCACCTGTTGGTGGACATGGGAGCTGTTTACACTCAGAGGCTGTCACAGATGAGGTTGCTGTGAGAGGATTCCCGCCCGAGCTTTGTGTGGATCTGTGCTTCTGCCTCATGCATAATCCACGAGAGCAGAATGGTGGTGATGGGTCCCCTCACTTTTTAAAAAACTGCCAGGTTGTCTTCCAGCGTCTGCCACCCATCTATCTTCCTTGGTGAAGTGGATGAACCAATCTTTGGCCCATTTTAAAAAACCGAGGTGTTTGTTTCTTAGGATGAAGCTTTAAAAGACTGCATGTGTTTAGGGAGCGAGTTATTTTCCAAGCACATGCATTGCAAATATTTTCTGCTCACCTTTTCATTCTCGGAAAAGCATTCTTGGAAGAGAACATTTTAATTTTAATAGAGTCCGATTTATCAACTTGATGTTTTATGGTGTCATGATTAGGAAACGTTAAACCAGGTCACATTTCTCCTGTGGATGCATTTTGGGGCTGTATGATAGGACTTCAGCCCTTTGCTTTTTTTTTTTTTTCTTTCTTTTGCATATGGATATCGAATTGCACCAACGGCATTTTTTGAAATGACTGTCTTTTCTTCACTGAATAGCCCTGGCAGTCTGTTCAGAATCAGGACTGTTACATGTGGATCTGTTTCTGGATTGTCTATCCTGTTCCATTGATCTGTTTTTGATCTGTTTTGTCTCTTTTTAACCAAATGCACACTGTTTTCCTGGGGTTGTGTTTTTTTCTGTTTTTTTTTTTTTTTTTTTTGGTTCTAGGGATCAAACCCAAGACCTCAACCATGGCAGGCAAACACTCTACCACTGAGCCACGTCCCCAGATCTGTTTTATTGTAACTGTATAAAGGGTTTTGAAATTAAGCAGTGTCGGATTTATTCTTCTTTTTCAAAGTGACTTTGGTTCTTTGAAGTTTTTCACATTTCCATATGAGATTTTTAGAATCAACTTAAAATAAGTTTATCAATTTCTATTTCGAAAATACTTCTGTGATTTTAATTGGAATTGTGCTGACCTATAGACTCATTGGCAGAGAAATGACATCTTAATAGCACCGAGCCTGTCCCCCACACACCAGAGACATCTCTCTCTCTCTCTGAGTTGACACCTTTACCTTCCCTCACAACATTCTGTGGTTACCACCTTTCTTGGATCTGTGCCTCTGTGCTTAATACATTCTGATGCTATCGTAAATTGTATTTTTATTTCAATTCTGACTGTGTACTGCTGGTATGTAGAACTACCATTGATTCCTCTGGATTGATCTCGTATCCTGCAGTCTTGTTAGACTCACTCATCAATTCCAGTGGCTTTGCTCTGCTCAATTCCATGAGATTTCCGACACAGAATTTATAGGCATAGTGCTGTTCCTAATAGTCCCTAATTACCCTCTTAATATCTGGAGATATGTAGTGAAGTTACCTCTCATTCCTGATATTGTTAATTTGCATTTTCTCTCTCAATTTCCTAATCATCCTGGCTAGAGACGTATCCATTTTATCGATCTTCCAAAATATCAGCTTTTGTTTTCATTGATTTTCTCTATCACTTTGGTTTTGTAGTTCACTGATTCCTGTTTTAATCTTAATTGTTTCCTCTCTTTTGCTGACTTTGAGCTTAATTTGCTGTTCTTTTTCTGGATTATTAATTTGGAGGGGGATCTCATTGACTTAAGATAGTTCTTTTCTAATCTAGGCATTGGTTGCTGTAAATGTCTGCCTTCCTACAGCTTAGGAAACAATTCTGATAAGTTGTGTTTTAATTTGCATTTGATGCAAAATACCTTCCGCTTTCCTTTTTATATGCCTTTGAGTCATGAGTTATTTGAAAGTGGGCTATTTTATTTTCAAATTTTGGGGGATTTCCCAAATATCTTTCTACGATTGGTTACTAGTTCCACTGTGGTCAGAGGATAAACTTCGTATGGTTTGTATCCTGAGACTTGTTTCATGGCGCAGAATACAACCTGTCCTCTCAAAGGTCCCTGCACACTCTGAAGGCCTGTGCATTCTGCTCGGGGCGGGCAGGTGCTCTCTAAGGTCAGTGCCGGCCCTGTGTTGGCCTTCCGTACTCAAGCTCATTTCCACCTACTTGTTCCACGAAGTACTGAGACCAGATATGGAATATCTGCCTGTGACTCCAGATTTGGCTATTTTCTCCATGCAGTTCTTCATGCATTTATTTATTTATTTATTTATTTGTTTGTTTGTTTATTTATTTATTTATTTATTATTTTCTGGTACTGGGGATTGAACCCAAGGGCACTCAGCCACTGAGCCACATCCCCAGCCCTTGTTTATATTTTATTTAGAGACAGGGTCTCACTGAGTTGCTGAGGGCTCACTAAGTTGCTGAGGCTGGCTTTGAACTCGCGATCCTCCCGCCTCAGCCTCCAGAGCCACTTGGATTATAGGTGTGCGTCACCACACCTGGCCAGTTCTTCGTCTATTCTGAGGCTCTCTGTTAGAGACACAAACATTTGGGATGATTGTGTCCAGTTGGTTAGTGACCCCTTATCGTTATGATATGAACAGTTTTATCACTGATGATATTCTTTGCTCAGACTACTGGCCTGGTATTGGTATAGTCTTTTGGCTTTTCCCTGCCTAGCGTAAGGGATGGAACCCAGGACCTTGGCTTGCTAGGCAAGCACTCTACCACTGAGCTCCAGCCCCCCGCTCCACTTCCTCCTGATGAGAGTCGGCTCCCTGTGTCTCCTTCAACCTGCTTGCGTCTGTATCTGGGTTGTGTGCTTCTCATGGGCAGCATCAGGACTTGCCTGTCTGTCAATGGGGTGTTTATCGACTTAGCGTGGTCATCGATTTTGATGAAGTGTAACCTATCATCTTTCCCTTGGTTTTCCATTCTCCCCACCAGTTCTTTATTCTCCGTTCCCGATCCCATTCTTGGGACTAATTGCTGTATTTTATTATACCAGTTTGTCTCCTCTGTGGGCTTATGAGCTATAACTCTCTCGGTTTTGTTCACTTTTTGGTCTGCTGAACACCATTAATGGGCCCCAGGCTGCCCTCTGAAATGTACCAGGGCACCTCCCACACGAGAGCCCCACGTGGCGGCTTCCCATTCTCCTCCAATCTCTGTGCTATTGTTACACATTTCAGTTTTACATACATCATAAACTTTACAGTGAGTTGTCAATATTTTTGTTTTAACCATCAATTATGCTTTAAGGAAATTTAAAGACCCACAAGCCATCTTGAGCATTTGCCCACATAGCTGCTGTTTGGGGTGCTTTTCCTTTTTGTGTTAAAAGTCCCTATTTCTGCCTAAAACCATCCTCTTTATGCCTGATGGATTTCCTTGACATTTCTTGAGGTGTGGATCTGCTGGTGGTGAACTCTTTTAGCTCTGGTATGTCCGTAAAAGGCTTCATTTCACCTTTGTTCTTGCAACATATTTTCAGTGGGGATGGAACCCTGGATTGACAGTTCTTTTCTTTCGGTACTTCAAAGATTGCTGCTCCTCTGTCTTCTTGTTTGTGTTGTTTCTAACCAGAAATCAGCATTAATCCATATCTTTGTTCCTCTATATCCACTGTGTTCCTTTAAGATTTTACCATTACTAGTTTTGAGCAATTCGATTATAATGTGATGTGCATTGGTATAAATTTTTTTTTTCTTGTGCTTGGAGTTCGTTGAGTTCCTTGGATCTGAGAGCTTATAGTTTTCATCAAATTCAGAAAAACTTTAGCCCTTATTTCTTCACATACATTTTCTGCCCACCACCTCCCATGTACTCTCTTTCGGGCTTTCAATTAACTGCATGTTAGACTATTGAAATTGCTACACAACTCATTGATAGTATTTTGGTTATTTGGATTTTTTTCTCTGTATGTTTCATTTTGAATGGTTTTCAAAATCTGCAATTTCACTAATCTCAACTCTTTTTGCCCCTGTGCTGGGGATGGAGCCCAGGGCCCCACACAGGCTATGCTAGCACTCTGCCCCTGAGCTGCACCCCTGCCCTCCACTAATCTTTCCTTCTGCCATGTTTAATCTTCCGGTGACCTCACCCATTATGATGTTCACCTCACACAATGTAGTTTTCATCTCTAAAAGTCCAATTTGTGTTTTTTTAAAATATCTTCCATGTCTTTGCTTAACTTTTTGAACATATGGGATACAGCTATAATAACTGTTTCAATGTTCTTTTCTGCTCACTTTAACATCTGGGTAAGTTCTGGGTTGCTTTCCATTGATTAGTCTCCTCATTGTGGGTTGTGTATTCTTGCGTCTTTGATTGCCTGGTGAACTTTAATTGGCTGCCAGACATTGCAGATTTCACATCGTTTATGTGCTGGATAGCTTTGTATTCCATAAACATGCTCCAGCTTTGTTCTGGGATAGTTAAGTTACCTGGGGAAAAAAATATGATCCTTTCCGGTCTGGTTTTTATCATTCAGAGGCAAGTCAGAGGAAGCAGCCCTCAGTCTAGGGCCCAGTGTTTCCCACAGCTAAGGCACCCCTGCCTGAGAGTTCCACCCGCCCCTGTGAATGTGAGCTCTTCCAGGCTCCTTGGCGGAAATACACATTCCCAGACCCACAGAAACCCTGGGCACTGTTACTACTAATCTTTCTAGATGTTTAAATTTTTGTTGTACAAGTGTTTTGCTGTTGTTGTTGTGTTGTGTTGTGTTGGTTTGGGTTTTGTTTTGCCTGCCTGTTTTTTTTTTTTTTTCAAATCCATGGGACAGAACCCAGGGCCTTTTGCCCGCTGGCTGAGCCAGTGCTCCACCCCTGAGACACAGCCCTCAGCACCTAGCAGGTTTTTATCACGGGATCTGAGCAGCGTTGGGTAGTTTTCTCCCTGTGGGCATTGCCGGTCCTCTGCCAGGCAACCGATCGGGCTTCCTGCTGTTCCCCAGGGTTTTCTTTCTTTCTTAACATTTTTATTGAGAAGGAACATGATACCTTTATTTATTTATTTTTATTTATTTTTCTGTGGTGCTGAGGATGGAACCCAGGGCCTCTCACGTGCTCAG